ATCTAATAATAATGATGTACGATGTTTTTATTATTTCATTCAGGTACCTCACAAGACTGATTGTACAAGATGGCACTGATGAAGCAGTATTCCTTCTCATAGGAGAAACTGCTGACAAACTGCTTCGGAGAAAATGTTCTGAAGTTTATGATAGTTTTCCTCAGGGCACTGGCATTTTACCACCGGAAATTGAAACTCTTTGTGGTCTAACCTTGGAATTTCATGTCAAAATTCCAAAACAGAATTACAAGGGCGGAGAGGGAGACTTCACAATAACAAACATCATTGGGCTTCACCAACAGACTACAAAAACAGCTAAAAGGAAGCTTCAAGCTTTGGAAGCACCAAAAAGGTATTGTCCTTATCGTTTTACATAGTTTCTTTATATTAGTACTTCAAATCAAAGTCGAACTTTAGCTGCCTCTACTATTTAGAGAACCGGATTCGGCAACCACGACTGATTATATGAACCTGACTGGAGAAATGGAAAACACTCAGCATACAGAGACTCAAGTTATTGAAGAAATATCAGATTCAGGGTACGTAATATTTTTGTGTTTTTCCCATCCATAAAGTCCGTTCACTCGCCAGATTCTACATTTACTTACATCCCAACAATGTCATGCTCTATTTTCATAGGAGGACTGACATAGTCGTAGACTCGAGAAAAAAAAAGAAAAGGTAAAGAATATTTATTATCGTTCCCCTTCCATTGTATCGGTTCCATTGCATAAGACCCTTTGTAAATACTTCATATATCCATTTTTTGTAACATATAAAATACTCACCAATACTATTCAACTTGAGAATTCCGATGCAGCATTGACCTTCCACCGGCACAAGCGAAGAATGGAAACTCAACTTCTGCCTCCAGCTGTAAAAATTTGAAGAAACCCACTGCTGTGGAAATCTTCACCGATAAGATGCCCAGAAAAGAACATCCAGTGCTTGGAAAAAATGAACTTCTACAGGATTCAAGGTACGTATTTGGTACACTGCTTTCTTAAAAATGTTTCACTTCCTCACATCCATTACAATGCCATACATCTGAAAAATGTGCAGGAACAAATATGATTGTTCGAATCGAAACCAGAAGGGAAAACAGTCGAAAAATTGTCAAAAAGCCATAAACAACAGGTGCTCATTGCTAACTCTCTTCATCCCAACACAATTAAGCCCCTCCTTCTATGTCCCTATAGCATATATTGATAATGTCGACAGAAAAATTCATTGCTATTCCAAATTTATTTAGGCACACTGATGATGGTGCGGACACAGTGATTATGGTGAATTCAGATGACGAGAAATCATCTTCTGACAATGACTTACCTTTGTCAAAAATCTTGGGAGACAAAAAACCTCCCAAGAAAAAAAGCTCATCAGCAAACAAAGCACTTTCAAAAGAGGCGAAATGCAGGTTAGAAGACTACTGACCAGAAGCATGTTATATTATTTTTATTACTATTTGTTAATTATATTAGTTTTGGTTAAAGAAAACTAACTGAATTAATCTTATGTTTCATTGTAGCATTAACTCACCCTTGGCACGAGTTAAGAAGGAAAAACTTGAGGTAGCCTCTAAGTCAACATCGACCACACCAAAGTCCACTACCTCGCCTGCTGTTGCTGAAGTACCTGGGAAACGCATGCGACAACCGACAAAGAAATATTGTCGTTAAGAAGATCACTTGGACTAGAAAAACCATTTATTTATTGGCTAAACTAGATTAAGTAACTCTGTTTGCGTAAACATCATTTGGGGTATATGGATGCAGCTTAACTATATTTTCGGTATTTGGGAGGACACCTTTTATGTTATAGCCCTTCTTTATTCTCTATCACTTTGGACGTAATTTAGTTCTTCTTATTAATCAATTCAGTTTTGGTTCTATACCATATTCATTGACTGAACATTTCAGTATCCCTCTTGAACTACACAAAGCAGGTTATCGAATACCAGACTGACTGAAAAATGGTCTATCTCTCTTCAATTACACAAGGCAGGTTGCCCAAACACTAAATAGATTAAAAGCTCCATTGATGAAATTGTTGAAGTAATTATTCTTTAAAGTATACACTTGCATACAAATTGTGAACACCGATTCTACCTACAATAAATCGTGTCACAGATAAAGGTTCTTCATTCTCTCACACTACCACACACAAAAATTAACTAGAGGATGAGTTTAAACTGGAGGCCACCATGGATCTTTCCGTCCGGTCGATTGTTTCCCAGGTACCATGTTCCATCACTGTCTGCCGGTTTGACTCTATCTCAACAAAATCCGCCGATCCTCTTTTCTTCTTCACCGTTCAATTGCCGCTTGAATGCAGGCTTCATAGATGGGAACGATTATGAATGTTCAATCTTTAAACAAAGCCTCTGAATCCGTGTAATAAACGCCTAAGAACATGTTGTGCAGCCGCAATTGGACCCTTCCCTTTTCTCCCGCTCTGTCGACCGCCAAGCGGTTATACAACCGACAAAGCCCATTTCTCCCCGCCGCGCGATACACAGTATTCTCAAGCTCTGAACGTCCGTTGACGAAACGCTTTCACTGCATCTTTCCCCAGCTTCGGAGAAAACAAAAAAACAAATCAAACTCCGAAAAGGAAACAACTACCGATCACCTACCTCCATTCCTTTACAACATGTTATTATAAAATTATTAACTATCATACTACCATAATTCAACTCTTACAAGGAATACGGATTCAGTCATCTGTAAGTAAAAGGAAAAGCAGGTAAAACAACACCAATCAAAACCTATAAATATATAACAAACAAATGGTTTTCGCATCAGAAAAATCAACCCACCATATTACAACAACTCGAAGAAACAGAGCAGGATTGGGAAGACTCGCCCGTGGATTAATCATCAATTTATTCTCGGTAAGAAGAGATACCTCCATAATTATCTTCACCAACCAAATTGGGGTTTCAATTAATCTTTTCGATACACCAACTCTCCTAATATATTTACAGCCTGGCCGTGAGACACCATGGAAAGAGAAGAGCCACCACTGCATCAACATCTGTCGTTGTACAAACGAAAGGAAAGAGGAAGTCAGAGTAAGAAACCAGAGGATTCAAGGCTACCACCCAAACGACGAAAAACAGGGATCGACAGGCGATCCAAAAAGCTAGCCACCGCTAACTTCAACCCTTTCAGACAGCCTTTCTCAACTGAGACCTATACCAGCAACACAACATTAACAGCTGAAGATAGACCCCAAACCCAAATTCAACCACAGGTTCAAGAAACAACAGACCAGAATTCACAACCAACAACTCAAACACAAACCGAGGAAAATACAGCAGATGTTCAACAACCCCAAATACCGACTACTGTACAGAGGTTTGATAACAGTATCCTAGATTTGGGATTACCAACCTTAGCTTGCACACACTGTGGTGCGAGGTTTTGGCCACAAGAGCAACTGAACTACAATAGGCCAACCACCACACCGATTTATACATTGTGCTGCCAGCAAGGAAGGATACGCTTGCCACTTCTAAAACCAACACCACCATTTATGGACAAGCTACTGGATGTGAATGGTGATTCAATGGCCACTCACTTTGCAAAACACCGACGTCCGTATAATGCCGCCTTCTCATTCACATCAATGGGTGCAAAAATTGATCAACGACTGCTGAATTCCAGAGGGCCATATTCGATGGTAATATGCGGGGAGAACTATCACCTTATTGGTTCGTTGCTGCCACCTAATGGACAAAGACCCAAGTTTGCACAGTTATACATGTTTGATCCCGCCACAGAAGTTCAAGATCGGATGGCGAACTTTTCAAGCAACGAGGATGTTCTGAAGCCAGAGATAGTTTCAGGGTTAATGGAAACGTTGAACGAAACAAATGAGTTGGTCAAAAGCTTCCGACGAGTACGAGACCACCTACAAAATCCAGCAAACCAAAACCTGCGGCTCAGAATTGTTGGTGCTAGAGTGAAGAATGGAGAACAGTATGAACTACCTACTGGACAGGAGATAGCTGGCTTAATCCCGGGAGATTTTCAACCAGACAATAATGACAGAGACATAATCGTTCTACACAGGAGCGAGGGGCTACGTCGTATAAACAGTCTCAACCCCAAATTTGACGCTCTACACTTTCCATTGTTGTTTCCATATGGAGAAGATGGTTTTCACACAGGAATATATTATAATGAACAGTCAAACAGACCATCAAGACAGAGAAAATGCATAACTCAACGAGAGTACTACTCCTTTCGTCTCCAACATCGTGACAACGAGGGCTCTACCCTAATGAGAGGCGGGAAAGTTCTACAACATTATATCATAGATGCATTCTCCACGATCGAACAGAACCGCCTTATATTCCTCAGGCAAAATCAGGAACAACTACGATCTGAAATCTTCCAAGGATTGTATGATGCTTACAAAGCAGGCAAAGAAACCGGAAAAGATTTAGGAAGGATAATATTACCAGCATCGTACACAGGGGGCCCACGATATATGAAAAACCTATACCTCGATGCAATGGCAATTTGCCAACATTTTGGCAATCCTGATCTATTTATTACATTCACTTGCAATGCCCAGTGGCCAGAAATCGTAAATGCATTTGCAGAGACTGTTGGGAAACGAAGTGAAGACAAGACGCAAATTGTGGCTCGAGTATTCAGAATGAAGTTAAAAGCCTTGAAGGATCGCATCATAAAGGAAAAATATTTCGGCCAAACCGTGGCAGGTAATGCATATTTCATCAATCTTCAGTACAAATTCAGACTTATTTGTTGATAGCAAACTATGATAGCATTATACTAATTTCTTCAAGTCATAGTCCAAACCAACTTTCTCACCTGTTCAACTATCCAAAAGCATATGCAATTTTAAACTTCTTAGAAACGTCCATATACAACAACACACTAATATAATAACTACTTCTTGCCGAAAATCATATTCATTCTTCACCAACCTACATCAATTAACGTGATTATGTATTTGCAGATCTCCACACTATAGAATTCCAGAAGCGAGGACTACCGCATGTGCACATTCTTATATGGCTAGATGATTCTGATAAACTGAAAGACATTGCAGCAATAGATTCAATAATAAGTAGTGAAATACCTGATCAAAATATAGATCCAGAGGGATACGAAGCGGTAACACGATTCATGATGCATGGACCATGTGGGCAATCAAATACATCTGCACCTTGCATGATAGATGGTCGCTGCTCAAAGCATTTCCCAAAACCTTTTAATTCAGAGACTACATATGATCAGTTTGGATACATCGTCTACAAAAGGAGGGATACAGGAATACATGTCGAAAAGGGCAGGACAAAGCTTGACAATAGGCATGTTGTGCCGTACAACAGAGACCTTTTGGTGTGGTTGCAGGTACATATTAACGTGGAAATTTGCCACAAAGGAAGACTGATAAAATATCTGTTCAAATATCTCACAAAGGGACATGACAGATCTATGGTAGAAGCAACAAACAGAGCATCAACATCACCAGAGGAACAAGAGCCGGTGGATGAAATAGCACAGTATTTGGATTGCCGATATCTCTCATCATATGAAGCAGCTTGGAGAATTTATGAATTTCCCATACACGAGAGAACACCAGCAGTTCTCAGATTGTGTGTGCATCTCCCCAATAAGCACACAGTTCCTTATAACGAGGATGAACCACTAGAAAATGTGCTGCAGCGGCGGAGAGTCAATAACACCATGCTAACTCAGTGGTTCAAGCTTAACAGAACAAATCCAACTGCCAGGACACTCACCTATCAAGAAACACCAAATAAGTTTGTATGGGATCCGAAACAAGCAGATTGGTTTCCGAGAAAGCGAGGATTTCAGATTGGCAGAATAGTGTCTGTTCCGCCTGGAACAGATGCCGTATATTTGAGGATGCTACTAACGAAAGTACGAGGTGCTTTAAGTTTTGAACACCTCCGGACTGTGAATGGTGTATGTTATAGCACATTTAAGAAGGCATGCCAAAAGATGGGATTGCTATCCACGGATGAGGAGTGGATATTAGTGCTAGAAGAAGTTTGTCGATGGGGACAACCATCTTTGATAAGGACTACCTTTACTTCACTCCTCATGTTTTGTGAGATTACAGAACCTCACTCTCTGTTTGATAAATTCTGGGAAGAAATGGCAGATGATATAGCATATCGAGCTAGACTTCAAAATTCTTCCAGGTACTTTGTCCCGCCATCAAGTTCCTTGAGAAACTCTGTACTTATAGAGCTGCAAAGACTTCTGAGCTATTATTCTACTACACTGCAAAATGTCGGTCTGCCGACTCCACAGTTGGATGACTCAGATAGGCTGCAAAATAGTCTAATTGCAGAGCAACTTGACTATGACATTAACGAACAAAGAAGAATAGCAGAGACAGGTTTGGCGTCACTTAATGAAAATCAAAGATATGCATATGATGCTGTAATCGACTCAGTCTGCAACGAGAAAGGATCTTTGTTCTTCTTATATGGATATGGAGGAACGGGAAAGACATTCCTATATGATACCCTCACTGCAAAGTTGAGAAGTATGAACAAAATCGTCCTGGTAGTTGCGTCCTCGGGAATAGCTGCAACACTACTACCTGATGCAATAACAGCACATTCGAGATTTAAAATTCCACTAAAGATCGACAGAACTTCGACTTGCATGATTAAGAAGGGATCACATCTTGCTCAACTAATCAAGGAAGCAGCACTCATAGTTTGGGATGAAGCTCCAATGACCCATCGATTCTCTTTCGAGGCAGTGGATAGATCATTTTGCGACGTCATGAATTGCCCAATAAGTGGAGATGGCTACAAGCCATTCGGAGGAAAGTGTGTACTTCTAGGAGGTGATTTCAGACAAACATTACCAGTTGTAGTTGAGGGCGGCCGTGAAGAAAGTATCGATTCTTCTTTGACAAGATCGCATCTTTGGAAATATTTCAAGGTATTACCCTTGACAGTCAACATGCGCATCAACGCAACCCTCAACAACCTACAACGCATTTATGATGGCAAGGATTTTGCAAGCTGGGTTCTAGCTATTGGAGATGGAAGGATAAAGCGCACAACATTCACGTCATCTGTTTACACCGATTGGATAAAAATCCCAGATAAGTTCATCATCCCACATATAGGAAACAAGATTCAAGCAATTACTGATACTGTCTATAATGATTTTGGTTCTTACTATGACAATCCCAATTACATTAAGAATCGAGCTATAGTGACGCCGACAAATCGCACGGTTTCAAAGATAAATGCATATATGTTGGCTAAAGTAAGGGGACAAGGAAAATTGTTCTATAGTTCTGATTCAATTGAGGACGACTCACCAAACAGTATAAGGCTTGAAGAAGAATATCCAACTGAGTTCTTAAATGGATTATCCTTCAACGGTGTGCCAGAACATGAGATACATTTGAAGGTCTCAACTCCGATCATCCTGCTTCGAAATTTGAATCCAGGTATTGGACTGTGTAATGGGACAAGGATCATGATTACACATTTGGGAGAAAATATTATTCGAGGTGATATCATTGGAGGAAAGTACGACAAGAAAACAGTTATCATACCGAGGATTGTGCTTAACGTTACCGAACATCGATGGCCATTTGTCTTGAAGAGGAGACAATTTCCAGTAAGGGTCTGCTATGCAATGACAATCAACAAGAGCCAAGGACAAACTCTGGATACAGTTGGGGTTTACTTGCCTAAGCCGGTGTTTAGTCATGGTCAGCTATATGTCGCAGTTTCACGAGTTCGATCGGCTGACGGATTGCATATACTGATTGACAATGAAGCAGAAATTCCGCATAACTTCACAAGAAATATTGTATACGAAGAAACTTTTACAGATATAGATGAGAGAACTCAAGCACCGACTGGTAATCACCTCACTATCAAGACTAACTTCATTTAATCCAAAAAAATTCTTATTTTCTCAACGTAAACAAGTCTACTAACCAATGAAATTCTCATTTTTATAGGGGAAAGGGACATTGAATGAACACAAGGTGGATAATACGCTCCGGCCCAGTTATATTAACAATCTTGGTACAAACTGTAAGTGAATTTTTACACTACATCTTATCTATTAAAAGATACCCGAATAATTAAGCTTTGTTGGGTATGTGATTTATTGCAGGAAGGACATGACGCAGGATCGGCTAAGATAATGAACCAACGAAAATTAAGACGCCCGGGAGAAGAAGATCATCAAGTCCTACTCGCCTATGTACTCTATAGCTACAATAATTTCTATTAAGTCAAACAATACGAAACCGATTTATATTCAGCAATATACCGCGGCAACGCGCGGGCTATTTCTTCTATTAAGCCAAACAATATGAATCCGAATTATATTCACCAATATACCGCGGCAACGCGCGGGCCATTTTTCTAGTTATTATTATTATTGATGAATTAAATGCTGATGGTGGGGTAGAGAGGCTAAGCATATGTCTCTTATAGATCCAAAATCACATTGAAGGGAGAAGAAAAGAAGGACCATGAGGCTGAGGGGACATCCCAATTTAATTTCTGCCTTTGATCATTGGCCCCCTAGCTCCAGCTTTGTATGGTCCAACCTTTGCCTTTAATTACCCCTATTCAATGAGCCTCATTACACTTGTCCTCATTTGGCAGTTCCACGTCGGTATGACTATATGGATGGAAACGGGATGGATTTTGGATGGTTTTTCCTAAAATTCATCCCCACTTCATTTTCAATTCGTAAACTTAAGCCTTCTCTTGATTTTTAGATAACGAATTTTCATTCTGTAAATTCAGACCGAATTCAATTTACAATTAATGTAATTAAGTTAAACATACATATAATCTCAATAGCTATAATGTCCAACAAACATTATATATCATAAAATAACCTAAAAAAGTATGAGAAACGTAACAAAATGGTATTTTTTTAGGAGAAATTAGAGTTAAAAGGAGGCATATATATGTTGATGGAATTGAAAAATGAAACGGAAGTACTGTTTAGAGTTATTTTAAAATTTAAATCCAGTGGAAGATCTAGAAATGAATGATGAACATAACATGTAAATGAGTGTAGGTATAGTACAGGATTTATATATGGGGTGGTTTCGTTTATGAGGATAGGGTGGAGAGAACTAAACATGCATATTATCCTCAACCTACTATCTACTTTGTGAGTATTACCGATACCGGTCACTTAACCGCGGTCAATATGGAAATTCGTTCGTTAATTGGATCGAGAATTGAAGGATTGCTGGAATCACATTTGTGGGTACAATATAATTCCTAGTTATAAACAGAAAAATGGAGGTAAAAGAATGATTAAAAAATTGTTGAGAGAGAAGCTGTATACTAATGATATTTTATTTTTGAAATTAATGTGTTAGCACATAAAGTTATAACATAAATTATCATGCCTCCACAAACGAAGCCGTATGTATGTGTAACCATGCACTGATTAGTTTATTATATTAGGTTGGTAGATATCATGAGATGAGAACTTGTTGTGTATTAATCAGATACTGTCTGCAAATCGTACAACATATATACATGGCCTATTGATAATGATTCATGTGGGTTTCAACAGGTCGTTGGAAGTGCCGACGGATATATAATACTTCATTTTTATTTTATAGCTAGAATAATGGGTGCAATATAATCAATGCATTAATAGCAAGCCATGCATGCTACTTTAACTAGTTTATCATACATATTATAATCGATGGAGGAGAAAATCTGTCAGCTATAAAATCGGTGTTTTATAGTCGATGTCTTGCAGATGAATCTCAAATGGATCGTCGTGATCAACAAAAATGCGGAATGGAAACTAATTGAATGCAATGCTTAAATGAAGCATCAACAAGGAACGATTCGAGCTATAATCAAACTTTTAGTATGCTTTACACTCCACGAAACAGTAAAACTCGTTGTTCCTTATCTCTTCTATGAAATTTGATTCAATATGATGGATTACACTACATACTAATGGGTGAGTGTTATACCTTTTTATAATCAATTCAAGTTTTTTTTTTTACTGTAAGCACTAAACAACTTCAAAAAGTTTGTATAAGTTTAAAATCGGACTCTAAAAGTTCTTCCGGGTATAATATTAAAATTTCTCGATTCGTACGCACTCCAACTTTCTCAAAAATAGACCTATCATCTAAGACGAAGAAAATGTCATTTGTTTATAGTATTTTAAGTGGTTCTTTCTTTAAACAACAAACATAAATTTCAAACCAACTATCTAAGAACAGAGATTGCATGATAGATAATAGGCATTAGCATCCATTCGATTGAAATTCATTTCTTTTTTGCTTAGAAGGACGAGATAGAGATCAAAGTAGGAGATTTGAGCATCCAGATATTCATGATCCTGGGTAAATTGAAAATCTTTGGTTGGGCTTTTGATTTAATGTTGAAGAATTGCGAGTTTAGGTGTTGAAACTTGAATGTGGCGTGGGGCAGTTGGCGCCAATATACAACTGATGATGGGCTGTGATTCTGGTCGGGCCTTCATTGGTAGTAGCTAGTCTTGGGCTTGGTTTCTTGCATGGATTCGTTCATAAACTATCCATCCACTTCAGTACTGTTCCTATCAAAAGATGTCCATTTATAGTTCTACGAAGCCCATAGTATTCGAAAAAAAACTCACAGTTCTCGAGCTGCTATGGTGGACTTTGCTCATTGTGTGGGTTAGGCTGTTCGGGTTGTTTTTGCGGGTGCCATAGTTTGTACCTTTTTGGGTTTGATGGTTTGTGTTCCATGGTTACAGAGTGGCTCATTTGGTGGTCACTCAGGTTCTGTTCTTGTCGCGTCATTTGTTTGAGGTTCGACTTTGTTTCTTTATTTCGTAATGAAATTAATTTTGTTGTAAGGTTACGTTATCTTTGTTTGTTCCTCTTTTTAAGATTGATGTAATGAAGAGAAGAAGAAAAAAACTCACAGTTATTGTTACCGTTATCTCAATTAATAGATTTTTTTTTAATGCAATCATTGTTACTTTTGCAAGGGACCTCCTCAATCCAAATAATTTGCAAGTTGTGCTATACCTTTATAAAAAGCTAAGAAGGATCTCTGTCATGGATTTTCTTTTCTTTTGTGGGTGGCAATGGATATTTCGTTGATTGATAGATACAGCCTGACTGGTAGCTGTTGGTACTACTTGTAGCAGCTCAGGTGCCCAACGACAATAATACACCTTCCTCACCTCATCGGACGGGCTAAGATCAGGTGACTAAGGGGGTCCTTTAGTCACATGACTAAGTCAATCTCAACCATCCAGTCTCATTAAAATCTAATGGTCCTAATTTATTCAGTTTAATGAAGGATAAGATTGTAATTACACATTTATTTTATTTAACAATTAACATAAAATAAAACACAACACATCCAGGTATTTCCCGCCCCCTCGTCGCCGACCTTCCGCAGTTCCGCCGGTCCCTCGCGCGAGATAATTTTTGTCGGATCCCCCTACCGGAATTATTTCATGGCCTTTTGGGCATTCTTTCTTTCCTTGGCCTTCTGGCCATTCTTCCCAGAATTTATTATTCCATTTTTTTTCCTTGGCCTCCTGGCCATTCTTTGTTTCGTGATTTTATTCCCCAGCAGAGAGAGAGGGAGTGTGTGTGAGTGAGAGAGTGAGAGTGAGAGAGAGTGATAGAGAGTGTGTGTGTGAGAGAGAGAGAGTGAGTGAGAGAGAGAGAGTGAGAGAGAGAGTTTTCCGGCGATCGGAGGAAATTTCCCGGCGACAGTGTTGGATTTTGTGATGTTTGTTGACCTATTTTGTAATGTTTGTATAGATTCGGTTTGTATTGTTTGTAATTTTTAGTGACATTTTGTACTGTTTGTCGTGTTATTTTGTAATGTTTGTACGTTTTGTTATTTTGTAATGTTTGTCGGGTTTTTTTGTAATGTTTGTAAACTTTGTTATTTTTGTGCACCATGTTTATCATTTTTGTCAACCATGTTTGTAATGTTTTTTATGTCTAAAAAACAACCTGGTTGACTTTTGGATGGAACTTCTCTATATAGGGATGGAGCCTCCAAAGTCAACCCGAGTGTTTTTTCAGTTCGTATGGATTGTCGGTCTAGTTTGTCATTTTTGTCCACCATGTTCGTACTGTTTGTATGTCTAAAAAACACCCGGGTTGACTTTGGGAAGGAGCCCCTCTATATAGGGATGGAGCATCAAAAGTCAACCCCAGTGTTTTTTCAGTTCGTATGGATTGTCGGTCTAGCTTGTCATTTTTGTCCACCATGTTCGTACTGTTTGTATGTCTAAAAAACACCCGGGTTGACTTTGGGAGGGAGCCCCTCTATATAGGGATGGAGCCTCAAAAGTCAACCCGGTTGTTTTTTCTTTTTGTATGGTTTGTATTGTTTGTCGGTCTAGTTTGTATTGTTTGTACAGTTCATACGTTTGTAATGTTTGTAAATCTTTTTGTATGTTTTGTCGCTCTAGTTTGTACTGTTCGTATGTTTGTATGGTTTGTACTGATTGTAAATCCGATTTGTATACTTCGTAATTTTTCATAATATCCAAACTACCCCTGCCATTAATTAAATAGCCCTTCCCACTTTTTAACCATTGAATTAAAGTGTCCAGATCTAATGGCTAGGAGGGATTTAGTCAAGTGACTAAGCACCCCCTTAGTCACCAGATCCGCACTCTCATCGGACGGCGCTGCCAGCGAACCATTTCTAATCCAACGGCCGTGATTATTCGTGTACACGTCACTGTACCGTATTCTTACAGCATACGAGGAAAAGGAAACTACCGTATTTATAACGGACGGAGTCATGGGAGTCACATGATGCGCGCCATTTTCTTCCTCTTTGTCACCACTCCGTTTGTCGTTTTCCGTGACAGACGGATTCACGAGTCTGACTGGATGGCTGACTCACCCGACCCAATGGAACCAGAAATGGACACGTCATCACCCGCACTCAGTCCCCGGGAATCGCTCTCCACCGTCCGACCTCTATCTCCTCCTCAGATATTTTCCTTCCGCACTCACACTCTCACAGTGTCATTCCCCACCATGCACTCCAACTGTTGTATAAATGCCCCTGTGAACTCTCATCGCCATCACTGAAAACCTTCGCCTCATAGTAAAATCTAAGCTTTCTCCAACCCCAATTCGATCCCCATGGCGGCGACAATCACCTCCACCTTGAAAACCCCTTTCCTCGACACCAAATCGGTCTTCAATGGCGCCCCGATCCCGGCCTCCATCGCCCGCTTCACAACCATGAAACCCGCCTCTGCAGGCGTCTCCATGTCCATGTCCAGCCCGCCGCCTTACGACCTGAACTCCTTCAAGTTCGCGCCGATCAAGGAATCCATCGTCTCCCGCGAAATGACCCGCCGATACATGACCGACATGCTCACCTACGCCGACACAGACGTCGTCATCGTCGGCGCCGGATCCGCCGGACTCTCCTGCGCCTACGAGCTCAGCAAGAACCCCGACATCCGGATCGCCATCATCGAGCAGTCCGTCAGCCCCGGCGGCGGCGCGTGGCTCGGCGGCCAGCTGTTCTCCGCCATGGTCGTCCGCAAGCCCGCACACCTCTTCCTCAACGAGATCGGCGTCGACTACGACGAGCAGGACGACTACGTCGTCATCAAGGTAGTTAAATTTACTAATTACATGTGTCATTCACATCTTAATTATAAAATGAGGTACCTATTGGTAAATAGACTTTTGAAAGAAATGTACATGACTAAATTACCTATTTACTCCCTCTATTATACTCATTAGACAAATGCATGCTTGATTGGGTAACTGATTTAATTACAACCATGGTCCTCAATTTTTTGTGATCCCAATTTGGGAAATGAAGCACGCGGCGCTGTTCACCTCGACGATCATGAGCAAGCTGCTGGCACGGCCGAACGTGAAGCTGTTCAACGCCGTTGCGGCGGAGGATCTGATCGTGAAGGGAGGCAGAGTAGGCGGCGTGGTGACGAACTGGGCGTTGGTTTCGATGAACCACGACACACAGTCGTGTATGGACCCGAACGTGATGGAGGCGAAAGTGGTGGTGAGCTCGTGCGGCCACGACGGGCCGTTCGGAGCCACGGGAGTGAAGAGGCTGATGGACATCGGGATGATCGACAAGGTTCCAGGGATGAAGGCGCTCGACATGAACGCGGCCGAGGATGCGATCGTTAGGCTGACGAGGGAAGTTGTCCCCGGGATGATTGTTACGGGGATGGAAGTTGCTGAGATCGATGGGGCTCCCAGAATGGTAAGAAATTCGGGGATTTTTGTTGGTGGATTGATGATTTGATTCTAATTCAAATCGGTTGAACCGAATTGGGTTGGATGGGTTGATTTGATTCTTGGTCCTAATTGGGTTTGGGTGAATTGATTCGTGCTTTGCGTTGCAGGGACCAACATTTGGAGCGATGATGATCTCCGGCCAGAAGGCGGCTCATTTGGCACTGAAGGCGCTTGGAGAAGCAAATGCCTTGGACGGTGGAGTCAACGGCAAGGTGAAGCAGCCGGAGTTTGTTATCGCTGATGCAGAAACTGCCGGAGAGACTGTGGATGCTTAATGAGGACTATGTAAAAGTAACTAATAAATGAATGTCGAGTTAATGATAATAAGAGGAGAAGGGAAGAAGAAGAACTAGTGTGTGAATGAGGTGTTTGCTAGTTTCTTTGGGTGTTTTTTCTTCGTTCTTTTGGCTTTTTGGAAGAGTGGTCGTTGACGAGTTTTAGTTAACTTGGGAAAGTGCTAATCCGTGTTTGATCTGGATTTCAGTTGGAGTGCTTCTTGTGTGAGCCATTTCGGTCCAGTCAATCAAGCCAACTTTATGGGCTTCAGGCCTCTACCTGTAAACATGGGCCAAATGTTTGAAGTAATATCATGGTGGGCTATGATTCTGTCTTGGACTTTTAGACTCCTGCATGGATTCATCAATTACCCCTAATTCCCTCGACTTCTCTAGAACGGTAGAAGTACAAGTCCATTTATTTTTAGGCTTAAGGAAAGCCCATTAGTGAAGGAACTTCCTTACGGAACATAATGACTTGATTCTATTCCATTCTTAGGTTCAACATCATTCGTGCATAGTCGTAAGTCGGGCCATTGAAGCTATCGAATGGTCACTTAATCACCTTCTTTGCCCACGATCTTGTTGTATGTTCGAGCTCGTTAGATGTCACCCCGTGGGATGCATAGCGATTAAGTCGAGCGTACGAACTCGTTAGACTTCAACCTTAATGAAATTGGTTTACCAACTCGTCGATTTCTACAAATTTTTACCTTGTCGGGTGTCAACATCACAGGTGGATAGTCATCATGCCACGGTCATCTAAGCTTTGCTAACTAATAATACTAAAATCAAATGAGCATGGAATGTCATTGTAACCCAATTTAATGGTTGCTTATTCAACGCTTCCCCCCGTGATTTCTGTAAGTGATAAAGATTAAGGCAAAGGAAGGCACATCACACGTACTCCAAACTGATGCAATACACAATAATTTGGTACATCAAAGCCTTCTTTTATCAAAACTACAAACACACTGAATAATGCATAAAATTTTGAGGCTGTGATTAGATACAATTAATTATAATGATCAAACCCATTTTAGGTTAAACAAGCCCAAAAGCTTTCTGCAACCCTTTCTCCATTTAGGTGTAAACAGTAACTATCTTAATCAACGAAGCAGAAAGATAAGATAAGTACATGCATCGATGGGCGTAGTTGTTTGTCCTCTCTAATTGATCTTTGAATTGCTTTTTCTTAATTATTTTGATTTGGGGGCAGAATTGTGAAGCTAATACGAAACCACACATCTATCGTTTGCCTAAATTCAATCAATACCTCCCACTTTCAGGGGCTTATCATCACCTAATCTCCATCTAACTTTTTTTGATCGATTAAGATGTGGATTTGAGTGACAACTATCTTAATTGCAACTTGATATTTTTTTTTTTAAATAATGTGACCAACAAGTGATGTCTATTTTAAAGAGATATTTGTTATTTTCTTTTAATCCAAGATAAGCTCGCAGGGCATGGCGCAGGATAACACAATTACAAGATAGAGACTAACAAAGAACGGTAATCCGTATGCAGCCGGACTCCCGATAAAAGATCCCGTTTTGCTATGAGGCGGGGGGCTTTGTTGAACATCCGAGGAACAAGGAGACACGAGACTGATAGAAAGGAGGAAAGGAGAGAGCTAACCCTATTTGCCTCCCGACGAAGGGAATTATTGAGCAATCACTAAAAGTAAAAGTTCAAATAGAGGACCTGGATCGTGAACAAAAATCAAAGCCAATAAACCCATCCAAGAAGAAAGAAAATGGTTTTGGTTTGTCACTATAGGTGAGAGCTAACCTATTTGTCTCACGACGAATGTATCGGGATAAAAAAAACTTACGAATCTGTCAACATATATATCGTGTATTAATACCCTGTACTACTATCGAAAAATTCTTAGTATCAAGCCGAAACAAACACCAACCGCAAACCTCGTGTTTCAACGCCAAGTAATAACCTCATCATCTCCAAGAACCCGTCTTCGTCATCCCCTCTGACAAAATTAGTAGAAACTCCAATCATCGCACACTCAGGCACCAACCATCGCGTCCTCGGACCGGATATGGACCACCTCATGTGCTCGAACCATAGCACCACCCCCACCATAATGGCTAATCAATCACATCAGATGTAGCATTTAGACGCAATTAAAAATTGTATGCAGTCCCAGAGAGTGGAATGAATGGAGATTTGATACTGCCGCCATTGCCGACGGAGGATGAGATCGGAAACCAAACCCCACATTCCATATGGCCCAATCGGTTGCTTCCAAACCCAGCCTAACTTCCTTCTTCCATCTTTCTTCTGTCTTCCATTTCCTTCTTTCTTTCGTTAGCAGCAAGTTGACTTCTGACCCAAAGCGACGCGGTGGCAGCTGCTCTGCTTGCCTTGGGCCCTGCTTCCTTCCGGCTCAGCATGAGACCACGATAGGGGACATGAACGTGTCAATTCCTCTATGGTTATAAACTCTGACACTTCGACGGAGTTGGTAATTTGCCTTCGAACGTTTACCTTATTTTAATGTCTTCAAGCAGAGCCTATCACACGTGTAAATCCAAAAGCATCTTTTGGCCTTACATTTTGACTTCCTATCCCCACCACCAGAGGATTTTCACATTCCACTTCTTCCAAATTCCTTCCTAAACACAGAATTTGCACAGTTTTTATGCGGTTATGTTCAGTGTTCTCACTAATAATCCGTCTTCTTCTGCTCCTCTGCACAAGTCTATAAAAGCACACACTAAAAGAGATTTCCTTCCATTTTAGAAAAAGAAAAACAGAGCAGTCAATTTTAGGCATGGAGGAGAAGATGGAGTTGCCTGCAGGGTTCCGGTTTCATCCAACGGACGAAGAGCTCATAACCCACTACTTGTCCCCAAAAGTAATGAACGAGTCCTTCTGTGCTAGAGCGATTGGTGAAGTCGACTTGAACAAGTGCGAGCCTTGGGATTTGCCTTGTGAGTAATTGATTGATTTTCCTTATTCTCCCCTGCTCTGTTTTTTTCTTTTCTCTCTGTTTTCTTATTTTTGTTTGCGGGTGATTGAAGGGAGAGCTAAAATGGGAGAGAAAGAATGGTACTTTTTCTGCGTTCGGGACAGAAAGTACCCGACTGGGTTGAGAACCAACAGAGCTACTGAAGCTGGGTACTGGAAAGCAACAGGGAAAGACAAAGAGATTTACAGGGCTAAAGTACTTGTGGGGATGAAGAAGACATTGGTTTTCTACAAGGGGAGAGCTCCAAAGGGTGTAAAAACTAATTGGGTTATGCATGAGTACAGGCTTGAAGGCAGATTGTCAGCCTACAATCTTCCCAAAACTGCCAAGGTCCGAACTTTCTCGCTCATCCCCTGTTTTTCCCCCACACTCTGTTTTTAACTTCTTTCTCAGTCAATCTGTTTTCCTTACTTTGTTCAATTATTTTGCAGAATGAGTGGGTGATCTGTAGGGTCTTCCACAAGAGTGATGGAGGCAAGAAGGTACACATTTCTGGGCTTGTAAGAATGACCTCCAACGGGGAAGAAACGAAGCCATCGGAGTTACCTCCACTGATGGATTCTTCTTGTTCTTCTTCTCATGAAGAGACCAGGAATTCTACGTACAATTCCCACGTGCCCTGCTTCTCCAACCCAACGCAGGACCATAGAACCCAACAAGATTTGGCCTATGGTTCCGCCGCTACTCAGTTTCCAAAATCCTCTGTTCCAATGATCTCCTCGATCTCTCCAATGGGTATGGCAAATTTCCACTACCAAAGTTCTCGGTTGATGCCTGAACAGTCACTTTTGAGGATGTTGGTGGAAAACAATGGATGGCAGACGCCGGAAAGCTTGAAACCAGAGGAGATTTCTGTTGAAACCGGACATAATAGTGATATGTCTTCAACCCATGATCAACTGCTTCACACATCCTACGAGGTTTCAGAGGACCCATCATCAACTTCTGCAGGAATATTAGACCTTGATTGTCTCTGGAGTTACTGAAAACAGAGTATACAGAATCTTCTTAGAGGTAGAGATTTATCTAGCAACTTTGGGTCTGTTTGTATTTGTATAGATTTACTACCCTTTCTCGTTCAAGTAAGCTCAAGATTTGGAATCTAAAATAACACTATTTTAAGGAGGTTTGTACCATATGAATCGTGAAGTGTAGTACTTATATCAGTGTTTTGTATCTGTAGATTATTGTTTTCTTAGATAAGAGATTTGGAGTTATTGAGCTTTGTTTGATGTTAGGAATAGATCCCTGAATCTCATACACCATCATACATGAACTTGTTTATTAGAGATATACCAAGTTTGGTTTCCCCATCGAGTATGTAAAGATGTAAGCACGTCTTTATATGTCTCAATCACCTAGTTCGCAACTTAATGATTGTGGCACTCATAAAACATGAATGAACGGCTAAATTACAAGTTTGGTCACTCGAATTGCTACAAAATTTTATGTTTGGTCACTCGAATTGGTTTATTCCATTCGTAGTCACTTAAATTAGTTGAACAGTCCAACTTTGGTCACTCTCCGTTAACCTCCATTAGACTCCGTTAATACCGTCAGTTAAATGCTGACGTGACTAACAGAGGTGCTTAGTCATCATATTGTAACCAGAAAAATAAAATAAAAAAGACATGCCACGTCATTAACCCCTCCATATCATAAACTCAACCCAAACCCAATCAACCCCTGAACCAACCCATTCACCCGTTCCCTCTCTCCTTCCCCCCTCTTCTTCCCCAGCTCCGACCCCATTCGCTACGACAAACCCCGAAAGAAACAAATCCCTAACTATCTTCTTCTTCCCCTTCCCAACTTTCCCCTCTTCAAGATTTGTGCTTTGAAGAAACTTCATGTAGTCGATCAGCAGTAGCATCCACTGTACCGTACAGAGGCAGAGCAAAGAAAGGAAGCAGAAAAATGGCGTAACGTCGACCACGCGTTCTCGATTACCGACGACGATCTACTGATGGACGGATCGTACACCAACACCAACCGTCCTCCCATCAAGGAGATCGGACTCGCCGTCTCCCTCCTCGTCTTTGGCGTCATTGGTATCGTCGTCGGCTTCTTCATGACCTCCAACAGAGTCGGCGGCGACAGAGCTCATGGTAAGATCCTTCCGTCCTTTCGTATCCCTATTCACTTCATCCTCGTTTTTGGACTTGATTTTTGGGGGGGGGGGTTAATTAGGGTTTGGATTTCTACCGCTCGGGTTTTAATTATGGTCGTCGAAGTGCTGGGGATCGGTGTTAGTCTGGGAGTGGAGCAGCCGATGATGGTGGATTGGGTGGAGGTCGCAGCGGCGGGGCGGCGGCGGTCAAGAGGGAGGATGTGGTGAGGGCAGTGCAGAGAGTGGTGGGCGGCGATGAGGAGTGTGAAGCGATGAGGAAGAGAGCGACGAAGCTCGCCGGGATGGCTCGGCAAGCGGTGGAGAGCGGAGGATCTTCTTATGAGAATGTTACGAATGATGGCGGTGCTCTATGGGGAGTTGAGAGACGGGGAGGAGCAAGCTCGGAGGCAGCCTTGTAGGGCTTCGACGGCGACGAAGAGCGACGGGGTCTGGGATTTGGGTGAAAATTAGGCCGTCAATAATAGGGTTTGGGAGATTGAATGGGTTTGGGTTGAGTTTATGATATGGAGGGGTTAATGATGTGGCATGGTTTTTTTTATTTTTTTTTTCTGGTTAAAATAGGATGACTAAGCACCTCTGTTAGCCACGTCAGCAGTTAACTGATGGTACTAACGGAGTTTGACGGAGGTTAACAGAGAGTGACCAAAGTTGGACGGTTCAACTAATTTAAGTGACTACGAATGGAATAAATCAATTCGAGTGACCAAACATGAAATTTTGTAGCAATTCGAGTGACCAAACTTGCAATTTAGCCATGAATGAACTATAATCCTTCATTTAGTCGAATTCAATAAAGTTGTCTCGTCTACCAAATTCCACACGTGGCTATTGTTAATTGATTTAATCGACATCAAACTTATTACTTAAGGGAGTTGTAATGTCAAACTTTTGGATCTATCTCCCAATCCCATCCTTTATCCCTTGTGCTCTCTGCCTTAAAAGCAGTTTGAGGTTCATATGTTAGCCCACCAACCAGAAGTTGATCAATCATTAACATAAATAGCAAAGCACGCATTAGAGCACCTTGCGTGTCAAACATCTGCTCATAAATGCCAGTCTCTTTCGCCCCCATAATTGGTTTTTGTTCGGATTGAAGAACGCTTTCAACTCTGCTTTCAGGGCTTGGGATCAGGTGGCACATAACTCAGCCAATCACAAATCCTAGATGATTAGGTGTGGCAATGATGAAAAAGAACCCTATTATTAACACATAAACTACATCTATGGATGGGCAATGGTTCGACCCCTTCGGATCTTATGTTCCAATTGTGTCAGATTTGTTTGGGTAATCGGGTTCAATCTTATAGTGTTACAGTTATCTTATTAGAATTAGGCATCAATCTCGTGACAAATCCATACCGGCACACTAAACTACAATGCCAGAGTTCGAATTCCATACCATTGAACGTTGGAGGTTGAAGAAAGTCCGAAACTTAGAATGGCTGCAGGGCTCTATGAAGAATGAATCAGCTAATTAAGGTCGCACACTTGATCATCATGTGATCATGCAGCTTGTAATCCAAAATCCTTGGCCTTGTCCTTGAAATCGTCCAGCATCTTCTCAGCGAGATGCCGAGATCTGTAAATGCAATGCACACTTTTTCGGAGTAGCCTCCAGCCGCTGCATTTTCTTTGGTCAGTAATTCCAATTCAAGTTCTATTTCACACAAATATGAATTGGGAAAGTTCCCCATTCTGTAACCCTAATTGAGTGGAATCCTCCACCGTTACTCACTTTCCCTGGATGCCCCTCCCCGTTATCCCCTCCACTAACCAAAAGCAATTTAATTGCTTCATCGAACATCAACACATAACATTCAATTAGAACCAGAAGTAAAAGAGGCTTTTCGGAGGGGGATTGTTATTCGTCGCCCTAAAAATTCTTATTCATCGCCCTAATTATGTTTAATTTACTCTAATGTCCTTGGTTTATTCTTGTGTCTTTCAAACACTTAAACCCTAAAACAAATACATATATCCACTCGTTGCTGGAGCCAACCACCTCACCGCAGGCCCAATCATCGTTATTATCACCATGTGAAAATCGTCTCTAACTTGTACTAATCATATCAGCAAAAGAAGCAATGGGCATTAGAGTCCAAAGCGGCAAAAGCAAAGGAAATGGCCTCTGAATTGTCTCACCACTTCTTCCTTCCTGCTTATTTCTTCCTGCTTCTTTCTGCGTTTGGGGCGGCGGCGGTTCAAGGAGCAGCAGCGATTGGAAGAGAAATCTCCTCCGGAATTGGGGCGGTGGCGGCATCAGCAATGGGAAGTTAAAAATTAGGGATTGCTTGTAAAGTGTTCAATTAGAAATTAGGGATAGGGATAAATGTGTCAATTTAGTATGTTTTAGGGCGATAAAATTTAAAATGTAGGGCGACGAATAGCGATTCAGTTTTGGGGGGGTTAATTGCAAGGTTGGTCACTGGGTTTACTAAAAACGTTCATGTTTGGTCACTAAAAATATTTAATTCCATTTATGGTCACTAAGATTAGTTCAATAGTTCAAATTTGATCACTCTCCGTTAGTCTCCGTTTGTTTTTGCTGACGTGGCAGTCAACTATTATAGTTGACCGTTAAATGAGTGACGTGGCCATTAAAAAATATTAAAATAATAAAATTTAAACATTTACAATTTCCACATCATTTTACAACTATTAAAAAATAAAAATAAAACTTAATTCCTATTATTCTATAAACAGAAGTTATAAAGGAAATCAGTCGGCCCACAAGTCGAGCCCATCGCTAGTAGGGTAGTTTGGTTCACAATGCTAGATTGCTAGTTCGTCAGAGTAACCGCCGTTCGTTCGTCGCCGACTTAAATCCCAACCAAATGTATCAAATGACGAGGCGGTGTTCCTCCGATTCATATTTTTTTTTTTTTTTTTTGGCCAAAGATAGCTTGTATTACCAAGAAACAAAGATCACAAACGATTACAACTCCGATCGGAGCCAAACGCAAAAATCAAACCCACCGATATGAGCAGGATACAAAGAAAGGGCCTTTCTAGCCACCCTATGGGCCACCCTATTGTGATCCCTACCTACAAATCGGAGAACATCCCCTCCCACCGTGCCCAACACGTCCTGGACTTCCTTCAACACCGCTCCTCCATAGCAATCCCCCGTACTGCCGGCTATCACCTTATCTATAACCACCTTCGCGTCACCCTGGTAACATACCCCGTACACTCCCATCAATCTGCACCACAAGATTGCCTCCCGAAGCGCCAGCAGCTCCACCACCATAGGATCCGTAACCCCCTCCCATACCTTCCCCAAAGCATTAACCACCACCCCATCCGGCCCTTGTAAGACAATCCCCACCGCCGAATGTGACTCCTGACGCACAGCCCCATCAAAGGAGCATACCCAAGCCACCCCCTGCGGCAGTCTATGAGGGCCCGGAGATACCCTCCGCCCTTGTTCTTGCACTCGAACCTCTGCCCCTCTCATCATTTGTAGCCATTCCCCCACCTGGACCAACCATTGGTTACGCAAGACCTCCCCAGTATATTGGCACCCCTCAAACACCACCCAGTTACGAGACTTCCAAATTCGCCATAACAACGAAACCACCCTGATAATAACCTCCTCACTAGTCCCCGTTTCCAACAATCGCCGGACAAAAATCCCCATGTTGGCATCCGGCAAATCAGCCCGGACATCCATGAGACCTGACTCTACCCATAACCTGACAGCCACCGGGCAGTGAAAAAACAAGTGCTCCAAATCCTCACCCTCATGCCAACACACCGGGCACTGTTCCAACACCTCAATCTCGCGCACAGCAAAAGCCTCCATCGTCGGCAGAATCCTGTTCATGACCTGCCACATAAAGAACTTAAGCTTTGGCTGAACCCCAAGATTCCACACTTTCCGCCACAGAACCGGATCCATCCACGATGCCTCACACTTTCCCTTCCACTGCCTCCCAGTCATCCTCATCGCCAAATGGTACCCGGACTTCACCGTGTACTCCCCCGACCTATCCTCATGCCAGATCAGCTTGTCTCTCACATGCGATCGTGGGAGAGCAATCGCTTTAATCGCCCGGCCCACCGATGAGGGGAAGCAGTTAGCCAAGCAATCATCACACCACGTCCCTGGCTCTTCCCCCATCAGCCCAGCCACCGTAGCCCCCTCCCACAGAAACGCCGACGGCAACACCACCGGCGGGTAAGGGTGACACCCTGGTACCCAATTTGCTGTCATAATCTCCACCTCCTCCCCCGACCCTATCTGCCAACGCAGGCCAGCCTTCAACAACTGGACCCCATGCAGCACACTCTGCCACCCCCAGGACGGCCGCGACCGCGCCGTCGCCGCCAAAAGCGTTCCATTCGGAAAATATTTCCCTTTATAAATTCTAGCAAGCAACGAGCCTGGGTCCTGCATAATCCTCCACCCAACCTTAGCCAGCAGTGCTTGGTTAAACTGCTCAAACCGCCGGAACCCCAAGCCCCCGTCATCCTTACTACGACACAATTTTCTCCAAGACATCCAATGTATTCTATCAGTCGCACCACCCCACCAAAAGCGGGCCATATACTTATCAAGGCGCCGACAGAGCGTCACTGGGAGTTTAAAACATGCCATCACATAGACAGGCAAAGCCGCCGCCACTGACTTCAGCAGGGTCTCCTTCGCCGCCCAGGATAAATGTCGCTGCTTCCACCCTTGCAACTTTTGCAACAGTTTCTCCTCCAAGAATCGAAACGTTTCAGACTTTGACCGGGCAATTAACGTGGGCAGCCCCAGATACTTATCCTGGACCCCCATAGCACCAACCCCCAATCGTGCGGCCATTGCCTCACAATCCTCCTGGACGACATTACAACTAAAGCAAACAGCCGACTTATCCAGATTAACCCGCTGACCACTCAATTCCTCATAATCCGCCAAAACCTGAAGCAAATTCTCACATTGCTGCATCGAGGCTTGCACAAACATATATGAGTCATCCGCAAAGAATAGATTAGTCACCCTTGGTGCCCGCGGGCTAACCCGCACTCCCGTTAACCGCCTGTCCAGCACCGCTTGTTTAATCAAAGCAGTCAAACCCTCTGTACACAGAACAAACAGGAGAGGGGATAACGGGTCCCCTTGCCGCAGGCCCCGGGACGACCGAAAATACCCAGCCGGCATTCCATTCATCATCACGGAAAACGAAGTCGACGAAATACATTCCTGAATCCACTATTTAATTTAATTTAATTATATTCATTAATTTTCTCTTCAATTCTATCGATCCGACCGTCCGAAAAGCTTTTATACAATCAACTACCAAAATATCAAATTGGATTCCTTACTGGTCGTCTTCCTTCCACTTCTTCTACTTCTCCCCTCCGTCGTGACTTTCGGGTGACCGATCCGGCGGTTCATTTCGGCCGCTAAGTTTCTGGTTTTCTCGCTCTTCCTCGCCCTAGTTCTCACCACTGCTTGGGCGGACGCCTCGGCCGATAGCGACGGCGATGTTGCTGCGCCGGTGAGTCAAGTCACTGGATCTAAAGACCTCGAGACCTCCGCTCTGGAGATCGAACTCGACCAGCTCACGTCCAAGATCCAATCCCTTGGTCAGTTCAACTCTTCAGAAATTCTTCACTGATTGATTGATGCCGACTTGTACTGAATCAGCAGCAAGTCTTCTGTTCTATTGGGGGAACTGTGAAGTGGTGGTTAGGTTTTTCCGATTTCGTTTTAGGAATTGAACTGCCGGCTATTTCATGGACGGTTCTCCCCCTGATTCAGTGTTTTCTAACTGCTTCACTGAGCAGTTCAGCCATGCGCTGCAACTGTTGATGCTTGAATTCGCTTCTTAGTTTATGTGTTGCTGCTATTGCGAACAAAGGTTCTGAATTTGTGCTTGCTCTGTTGCTTTTGATTTTATGGGTGGTGTAAAGAGTCCAAGATCAATAAGAAGACAAAGGAATTGAAGGCGAAAGATGAGAAATTGGCTGAGAAGGATAAACTCATCAAAGATAAAGCAGACAAAACAGACAGCTCCATAATCCCAGAGGAAGCAGGAAAACAGAGAGACCCAAATATGAGCAAGGCCCTTCTCCGTTCTGTTCGTCTGCCTCGGCAACATCTGTCGGAGCCCAGCAGTCGAGGGAGTCTTCAGAGACATGGTTCACAAGGGGGGTCTCGATTCCAAGTTCAACATCCACTCTGCCGGTACCATCAATTACCACGAGGTAGACGTAAAACAAGAAAAAGGTTTGTTCTTTACGATCATGTATCGGGTTTGGGTTTCTGAATATTAGGTATTTATAGAATAATAGGAATTAAGTTTTATTTTTATTTTTAGTAGTGGTAAAATGATGTGGAAATTGTAAATGTTTAAATTTTATTATTTTAATATTTTTTAATGGCCACGTCACTCATTTAACGGTCAACTATAATAGTTGACTGCCACATCAGCAAAAACTAACGGAGACTAACGGAGAGTGACCAAATTTGAACTATTGAACTAATCTTAGTGACCATAAATGGAATTAAATATTTTCAGTGACCAAACATGAACGTTTTTAGTAAACCCAGTGACCAACCTTGCAATTAACCCCTTTTTGGAGAGTGCTCAAATGAGAGCGGTATGACCTTAGTCGTGCGTCTGCTTTGCTAGTTTTCTGAATATATTTATTTATTACTGAATCAATCGAAAAAAAACGTACTGAATTCAGATTGAGAAGCTAGATTTATACTACAATTTACAGTTAAGAACTCGAGAAGGGAAGACCGTTGTGGTTGTAACAACCTTAGTTAATTTACCTTTAACTACCTACATTATCCTAGTTACACACTTTCTATACTATACTAATTCTAAATTACAATTTGACTTGTATCATCTAATATGCTTACCAAGCTGTGTCGCCGATCAGTTCGTCGCTAGGACAAAGTGAGCAGGCAAAGCGCAGAGGAAAGAAGCGGAACGAAAACGACGACTGGTGGGGCGAATCCCAATTGCCCAGTCTGTGAAACGAGAACGGCGTCGTAATAATAAGAAACCGGAAATGATCCTTCCGGTTGAACCACTGATATTCTCGAAATTGACCGATTTTGACCGCATCATCATGCCAGTGGTATTTTAGCCGGTTTCATGACCGGCACCGATTGAACCTGGTTCAACCGTCCGGTATACCACTGGCATGACAACCATGCTTATGATTAAATTTTAAAGCAACTTCAATCAAATCTAATTCTCCCCTTTTCAATTTTTTTTTTATACTTACTAGTTACTATCTTTTCACTTCTAAATGTTAACAACGTTCTCTCTATGTAGGGAGGCAAGCTTCTCTTACTTAACGAGACCGGTCTTAAACGGTTTAACGGGCGATGATAAGGAAGAGAACCAACGACAGGAGCACCAACCGCGCGCAATGTTGGAGCTTATGGCGAACCTGCACAAATTTAAGGTTACTGAAGCAAATTCATGCTTCTATACTAGTGAAAGGTTTCAACTCAAGTCCAGGAGCTCTAAGAGAGCTCATTTTCGCGAGTGCGATTGCAATTCCTGGCACCATAGATTACGCCCACCAACTGTTCGCTCAAATTACTGACCCGGACACCTTTATGTGCAACACCATGATGAGAGGAGCAGCTCAGAGCCAATACCCACTGAGAACTGTTTCCGTGTATAACGTGATGGCGCGTTCTGGTGCAAAGCCTGATAATTTCACGTTTCCCTTCTTGGTCAAAGCTTGTACGAGGCTTCAGTGGAGGAAAATGGGTAGTTGTGTCCATGGGATGGTGGTGAGATTCGGGTTTGGAGGAAACAATTTTGTGAGGAATACGATTCTCTATTTTCATGCTAATTGCGGGGATTTAGGAGTAGCAAGGTCGATTTTTGATAATATGGTGGAGAAGGATGTTGTTGCTTGCTCTGCTTTGATTGCAGGATATGCAAGGAGAGGAAACTTGAATGTCGCCCGGCAGCTGTTTGTTGAAATGCCAGTTAAAGATTTGGTGTCCTGGAATGTGATGATTACTGGGTATGCAAAGAGAGGGAAGATGGGTAGTGCAAGGGAGCTCTTTGAGCAAGTCCCCAAGAGGGATGTTGTGACTTGGAACACTATGATCGCAGGGTATGTCAATGTTGGGCAGAATGATCAGGCTCTGAAGTTGTTTGAGGAGATGAGGAATGCTGGAGAACATCCGGACGAGGTTACAATGCTCAGCCTTCTATCGGCTTGTTCACAGTTGGGGGACCTGGAGACCGGGAAGAGTTTGCATTTCTCAATCTTTCAAGTGAACAAGAGAGAGTTTGGTGTTTTACTTGGTAATGCTGTTATATCCATGTATGCTAAATGTGGCAGTATAAAAGGTGCAGTTGAAGTGTTTCAAGGGATGAAAGAGAAGGATGTTACTTCATGGAATTCAGTTATAGGAGGATTGGCTCGAAATGGGCATGCTGAGGAATCAATAAGGTTGTTTGAAGAGATGCTGAGATTGGGAAAAATTACTCCAGACGAGATCACTTTTGTTCAAGTGTTGATTGCTTGTGGTCATGCTGGGAAGGTTGATAAGGGGCGTAGTTATTTTGATATGATGATAAATAAGTATGGTATAGTTCCAAATATGAAGCACTATGGGTGTATTGTTGACATGCTGGGGCGTGCAGGGTTATTGACAGAAGCATTTCAGTTCATTGACAAAATGAATGTTGAACCGAATGGCATTATTTGGAGGACCCTTCTTGGGGCTTGTGCGTTGCATGGAAACATTGAAATTGGGAAGCGTGCAACCGAGAGACTGATGAAGCTAAGAAGAGATGAGAGCGGAGACTACGTGTTGCTTTCCAACATGTATGCTGCAGTAGGTGAGTGGGGTGGGTTTGAGAAGGTAAGGCAGGTAATGGATGATTATGGAGTGTGGAAAGAGCCTGGATACAGCATTGTCGAACCCGATAACAAAGCTGTCATTAAGCTTCTATCTCGGTCAAGAAGCAGCCATGTTCCAGAGAGTTGAGTGTCACAAAGTTCTTGCAGGTATAGCAACTTAAATCTCTTTACTAATTAGAATTCTAGCAACTTATTTTTTTTGTTTGCAAGAGTGAGCTCTTTGCTCTATATTTCAATTATAAAATTTGTTGGCAATGGAGAAGTGAAGTCAAGTTTTGTTCTGCTTAATGAAAATTTGCGAAGCCGAGTTCCTTGCACTGTAGTTCAATTGTTTGTGTTCCAACAGCTTCAACTATGGTTCATCTGAGTGTTAGTTGCTGGGAATAATTGGAAGTTTATGTCCAGTTAAATGCACAGATGCCATTGGCTTGGGGACTGAATCTAGTGTGTATCCAAAACTAGAAGTGTTCCAAAAGCAAAAGATGGAACATTCTAGCTGAAATGGAACATAAATTGGTAGTCCAAATAATGTCTTTCTGCTTATGAAACTATCATCTCAATGAATTGTAACACAAACTTACACGCACAGAAGTCAAGTTTTCAAGAAGAAAGAGGAAAAGTATAACAACCTGACACAAGCTGTAAATCTTCTTCATCACACTCACACAGCACACTACACACACCAAACATACAAACCACAATTCATATTTGCATCTTGAAAAGTAAACAATGCTTGTTTTTTCTATTTTAGCGGCGAGCAAGGGCTGAAGCAGACAGTAGTATCAGGACTATGAACACGGTGACTCCAACATAAGATCCTATCAAGGATCCTGAGATGCGCTCGCAGAAGGAGTTGAACTGTTGGCAGATGGCTAGCCAGTTGGCCTTCGTATTACCTCGGTGTGCCAAGTACACAATGGCTGCCCCAGCTGAAGACCCTGCTGTCAGTAAAGCCAGCATCCCCTACAATTTGGTAAACTCTCAGTACTCTTGCATTTCCGTAGATACAAATCTATCAAAACCAACTTAAAGATGTAGTAATATAATTACCGTATCAATTATGATAAGGATGATTCTACTGTTCTTTGCAGAGCTCCTCAGGATGTTGAAGATTGAAAGTGGAAGCGATAGAAGAAAATAGGCGCTCACGGCAGCATTGGCTACCACAAAGAACCTGGCCAGCAACCCAGAGGTCATCCAGATACGTTTATTCCCACTTTAAGCAAACAGTGGATATGGTCAATTACGATGAACAGATATACGATAATATGCTTACGTGAATGTTGGAAGGTCATTGTACTCGGCCCTGAAACGAATGAACTGAGTGAAGAAGGGAAGAGTTTCGTTTGTCGTCGCCATCATAATTGCGCTACTCAAGGTACCAATGAAGCCAACAAGCCTCAAGATGAAGTCTAGAATGGCAATCCCTCGTGTCACACCAGCTTTCTGGGCGGTATAACCCTTTGGCTCACCAAGCACCACTGTAGCATCTGCCTTCATCTTGGTAGCTGATGGTCTCTTTATGGGTTTTCCTTAAGAGGTTATAGGATTAAAGCAGGTGGTGTTAATGAAGTTTGAATGAATGTGCATGGTTGTGAAGACTTAGCATGGGTATTTATACAATTCACAGCATACATTGACTGGAGATTATGGAAATGACACTTTAGCACTCCTTTTTCTTTATTCTCTTTTCCCTTTTGTGGAACAGTCTTATCTCATCAATAACTAAGCCATTTTGAGAAAGAAAAGCCTACTTTATAACGACTACAACAGTTATGTATCCCAAAGATGTAAGATCATATGCCCAACTGCAGCGTTAACAACTCCACTCGAAAATAACCCACACCACCAATAATAGGTAATCATTTCGAGCTACCTCAATTTTCCGAAAAATGTTCAAGTTCTATGTTGTTTAGGTCAGAAATGGTATTATTGAGATTCCCAGATTGAACAAATCCAACCACCTCCCCTACTTACTGAACCAACCAACCCCATTTGGTTCCAGGACACGGTTTGTACTCGGCAACTGTACCAGCTGGCATTTGCTGAAATAAAACAAAAAGGGCACGAAAAGCTTCCAGGGAGAAATTGATCTAATTAACATGTCAAAAGTCTCTGAAATTAATACTGAGATATGGGATACTAGTTATCGAGCTATGATCCTTTACAGGGACTCAACTTATCAAACATTTACAGAGGTTTGTTAATCTTATTAGGGTTGCTTCTCGTTCTGACAGGATGGCCACTGCCAAACAGAAGCCCAGTTAAGAACCCACCACTTGTCTTATCATTATCATCCTCTTTCCCCATGGAACTGGTACTCAAGTTGCTGATCAAAGACCAGTGAGACTCAAAATCTGGATCATATCCACTTCTCTGCATCATTCCCATCACCTCGGAAGCATTTCGTAGATTGTTCTCTGAACGGTGACTCTCAATCACACAAGAGTACATCTCTCTTCCGGGGATTTCTCCAGCTGCAAGCATGGCATGGAGAAGTTCTTCTGCTTCTGAGGTTCTTCCTTCCTGACACAGCTTGTGAACCAACAAACTCCATGTCTCAATGCTCGGTTTACCGTCATCTATATCCAACAGCTCGGCAAGGAAATCGAGAGCTTCGTTCACTCTATTGCGTTTGCAAAGACTTTGAATTATGCAGTCGTAGCTCCTTGGGTTTGGGAGATTTCTTTTCTTCAGCATTATGTTCAGGAGATCAACAGCTTTGCTTGTTCTTCCATACCAACAAAATAGCTTGATTAGACGGTCATAATTAATGATATCTGGAGCTAAGCCTTTATCCACAACCCTATCCAGGAAATTCTCTGCTTCTTCAAACTTATTTTGGACAAGAAACTGCTCTGCAACTGCGTTTTGAAGGATGGAACCATGAACCCAGCCTTTTGATTCCATTTGTCGACTCAAGTCCAAGACCTTACTCGAATCGTCTTGCTTGAGTAGACAGGAGACTAAGCTTCTCAAGCTGCTGGAGCTTGGCTGAAGGTCCATTGAAACCATGGCAGACATGTAGTAAATAGAGCTAGAAACATCTTTGCATTTGGCAAATCCATGAATAAGAAAGTTATACGTGGCATCATTGAAGGGCAAGCTCTTCGCCTCCATTTCATTCAGAATGCTCCTTGTAAGATATCTGTTACCTGCTGACAGTAGATAGAAAACTAGAATGTTATAGTAAATCACAAGGATATCAGACTCGGTCTCTCTTGCTGTTATTAGGTCCTTCATGTTTAATGCCATATCATACCTACTCTCTCTACACATCAATCGGACCCAATTTCGGTAGCTCGGTATTGAAAGGGTTAAACTTTTCCGCATCAGGATACCAAGCAATTCTTTGGCTTTCCTCATGTTACTTGCTTTGCAATATCCTTGGAAGAGAATTTCACAAATTTCAGGATTTGGAAGTAGCCCATTTGACAGTATACCCTGCAGCAGACTGGCTGCTTCTTCAACCTTTCCTCTCACACCGAATCTTCTATGTAGAGCTCTGACGAAAGAAAAGGAAGAGGATAAATCTTTTCCTAGTTCAGTCTCTTCCAGTAAATTAGCTTTCTGAACACTAACAATACACAGCTGAGGAATCAGAATTACATAACCATCCGAGCCGAGGACCAAGCTTCTAGTTAGAGCATGGTTGAATATTTTGTACGCATCTGCATATTTCCGGTCTTTGTATAACCCTGCTACAAGATTACTGTAAGTACTGTCATCCACAATAAATCCATGTTTCTCTAGTTCTTCCACTACCAAACAAGCAATTGATGCCAAGCCAGTAACTGAAAGCTTCTCCAGGAAAATTCGATAAATCTCTGGCCTCGAGGTAGAATGGAAGACTAACAATTTTTCTAGAAGCTCTACTGCTTCCATCAGCATTCCCTGGTAGCCGATACCTTCAATAACACGGCTGAAGTCTTTCAACTGTGGCAGCCATTTGCTGTTCTGAGAAATGTCCCAACACTCATGCAGATTACCAGACAAATTTCCCTTCTTGCATAATGCAGTAATCAGAGCAGTAAAGCTTGAACTGTCAATCCTCATACTTCTTTGAATCATCTGACCAAAAATTATCCTTGCTGTCTCTGCCAATCCAATTTTACAGTATGCTTGAACAAGACAATTGAGGACTTCTTCATTTAGCAGATTTAAAAACCTGGGCACTTTTTCAATGAGGAAGTTGCACAATCTTATATGGGATCGGGATCCACAAAGCCCCTTCACCAATATAGCAAAGACATCTGGAGTAGGCTCCTGGCCCCATCGAACCATTTCATCTACAATGGAAAAAGCATCTCTGAAGTTTCCATCATCAAGTTCCTTCCTTAAAAGCACATTGAAATCAGGAATCAGGGAATCTTCCAGGATTTGCTTAACTTTGTTTCTGTACTCCTTAATATCCGCGTCCAAATACAGTCCATTTCCAAGTTGGTCAAGAAATTCTGTCTTCAGAAAACTCGAGCCATTGTCCCTTTTAAACCTCACAGAGGCTGGATTGAATCCCAAGATAAGAAATGCTTTAGAAAGTGGGTCTTCAACCGGAGATGGGGCAACTAAGCCGATCTCCCCCATCTTATGAACTATTTTCTTTGCTTCTTCAAATTGTCTGGCTTTAAAGTATCCCGCAAGGAGAATTCTAAAAGTTGATAATCCAGGAGTTACTCCAGACTCCATCATCTCATCAAGAATAACACCGGCTTGATCCCACATGCCCTCCTTCAGCATACCACCAATAAGAGCATTGTAAGACAAAATCCCAGGTTTTAAACCTCTTGAAACCATCTCAGAAAAATGCAAGAAAGCATCCCTTAAATTCCTTTCCTTGCAGCATTGACCGATCAAAATCCCAAAACTTTTATCATCAGGAATGAAGCCCAGCCGCTCCATTTCGAGCCTAAACAAATTTGCACTCTCAGCATCAAAATTGTGGCACAAGCTCCATATAATCTTGTTCCCTGTCAGAACACTTGGCGCACACTTCATCTTGGCGAAGAACTGGAGAGAATCATCATAGTCATGTTTGGAGCAATAGCCACGAGCTATCTCATTCACAAGGAAGCTGCTCGGCTTAAATCCTAAACCCATTGCCTTCTTCACAAGTCTCCTTGCCTCCTTAATCATTTCATCCGCACAAAGTAATCTACAAACGTTCTCCAAACCAGCATTCAAGCCATCATCTAAAACAACCTGAAGTTCGACCATGTCTAAACACACCCGAAAAGCCAATTCGCTTCTCTTCATCCTCACCAAAAGATCCAAAAGACCATGATAACACATTGATGATGGGACCAAGCCTTGCTCCCTCATCTTCTCATACACTAAACCAGCTCTCTCTGGCTTACTAGCTTCAACATACCCTCTAATCAACCCATCATAAATCACATTCCCATCCAACGAAACCCCTTGTCTCTCCACTTCCAAAAGCAACAACTGGACCTCTGTAAACATCCCAGACTCAAGGAGTAAAGAGGCCATAGCCTCACACGACTTGGGCAGGTGCTTAAACCATATACCCTGCTTACTCGCAAAATTGAATATCCCCCACAAAGATTCAACCTTTTCCTTCTTAACATTAACCATTCGAGATTCAAATTGAAAACCCAGCAATATTTGAAGCACATGTTCGGGTTGCAAACTATGGAATCTACGAAACCTCCGCGCGACATCAGGTATGGTATCGGAGATATCCCAAAGTAGGTGCTTGAGAGAATGACCAGAGCTGAAGTTGTGGACTTTACCTTTATTGCTGTTGGGGAACAGAGAAGAAGCCTTGGAGATGACCGATTGCGCAATGCCAACACAGTATATATCTGAAGGCGCAGTGGCGGAGAAGTGGGATTTGGCAGAGCCGAGAAGTTGAAGTTGAAGTTGAAGTTGTGAGAATCGTCGGGGTTTTCTTCTGGGATTGCCAGTGCGAATAATTTGGAGCATGTGAGTGTGAGTGCCAACAGGAGATACTCAGGGGTCAGGATCGCCAGCCAATTCTCAGTTCTCGCACTGAAGTTGTCTTTCTTCTTATTTAATCGAATTTCCTTCTTCTGTTGCCCCCTTTCTTCTGCCTTTCAGTTCAGTTTGATGTAATTGTTCATTCAGTCCCTATACTATGTTTTCTTACCAAATGACTCCATCTACTAAGTTTTTTTGGCTATTTATACAATGTTTTGGTGCACGCTTGATGAAATCAAAAATTATGATTCGATTTCATTTCATGAAAATTTTAATAGTTAGGAAAATACTAGACCAAACGGGATGAAATGCATTTATTGATTTGATTTTCGTCATCAATTTACCTTTCTCCTTCTATCGTGATTCATCTCAATTCGATCCAATTTTAGATATAATTTAAATCATTGTGCACATCTACTTACTATGATTTGTAATCTCATTCGCTATAATCTTTTTCTTGTACTTTTATTGACCAACGGTCGCAACCAAACTCAACTTTAGACAATGTGACATAATTTATCATATTGAGCTCTTGACGTGCTAAAATTGTAAGCCACAATTCATAATTGCATATGCATGTCATAACAATCATTTACAAATTACCAGCACATGTTGTGAAAATAGGGAAATGCAAGATCAACCATCGTAAATTACACTAGGATGTCCTAAGCAATGAGCATTAGCACGGCACTAGGAATGGCAATGGGGCAGGTCCGGGGCGGGTATCTCGATACCCATACCCGCCCCATGGCAGGTCGGGTCCAGGTCGGGTAATTTATGACGGGGCGCGGGTCGAGGCAGGTCGACCCATTGGGTATGTAATTTATGTGAAAAACATTAGAAATATTCATTCTTTTCATTGAAAGACCAAGAAAGAAACCATAATATGATAAAATGTAGTTAAATTACTGAAGAAATTGAGGTTTTCACTTATGTACAACTTTATTATAACTAAAATATAATGTAATCAGAGGAAAATCTTAAGTAATTTGACTAAGATTATATGTAATTTAGGCAAGAACGGGTCCAGAATGGGGCGGGTTAGGGCAGGTCGGGTCGATGAGAGGTACCCATGCCCGCCCCGCCCCGCCTAACCCGCCCCAAAACAGGTGAAACAGGTCGGGTAAATCGGGTCAGGTCGAAATTGCCATCCCTACACGGCACCGGCCGGATTGTTTTGCTGGGTTTTACACAAAACATCAAAGCTGAATTTATTATTGTAATGCAAGTAATGATAAATGTAATTAACGAATTCATTATATAAATTAATTGGGTTCATTCAACCTTTCGGGGAAGCCATGGGGCGCCTGCAAAGGACCAGTTGACTTCCATTATTTCGAGTTGTTACATTTTCGTCAATGGTTAATTACTACATACATGGGTTCTGAAACCTGAAACTAGATCCATCCATCCATCTCTCTACCTCTCTATCTATCTATCTATCCCCATCGTTAGGTTGAGAAAAAGCCTGTAAGCTTCGAAGTCAAAGAGGGCAGGAATCAAGAAGGATGAACGAGAAGATGACCGCGGCGGTGATCGGAGTGATAGGGGCGGTGATGACGCTGGGAGCTTACTCGCAGAGCATGGTGTCTCCAAGCAGCTGCATCGGAGCTGCTCTTTGTGTTCTCATGTATGGATTGCTTGTCGGTGAAGGTTTCATCCCTAATCCTCTCGAAACCAACTCCATCGACTCAGCAACAACAAGCTCCGTCGTCAAACCCAAAGCTAACTGATCTCTCTGCTTTTGCTAGGTCATACGTTAATCATTGTCTCTTCTTTACTAATTACCTCGCGTCGCGTGTACTATGTATGACAGGTCTCTGTTTATTAATTTCCAAACGGTCTTCTGTTAAACTTCCCATTTGCTTCCATATTTTCCTGCTTGTGTATTTGCCGTTGTAGCATTCAATTTTGAGCTTCATGACTTGGACATTGGCGTTCTTGATCTTCCTGCAAATTCAAACTCGTCATAGTGTCCTTCAGTCAATAATATATATGAGCAACAGATTAAGAGAAGCTGGGTGTCGTGTGTACGTGGCTATGTAAGCATGAAAACAGAAGCTCGATCTTCGTTGTTTGTTTGTTTGTTCCTGTTTAGGCATGGATGAACGATATGCAAATGGCATCAATGTAATGATTAATGATTATAAATCGACGTTGATCGCGGAGTATGAATGGCCAACGGAGAAACTAGCATGAGAGAAGAAGGGAGTGGAGTAGCCAGAGACGGCTTGCCGGCCGGTCTTCATTTCCCGACTAATGCATATATATGTGCTGCCGGCAAGTCATCCTTGGCTGCACCACATTGATAAAACTCCCTCATTCCCACATGCAAGCATCTACGATGATGATGATGATGATGATTGGAAGCAAAAACGGGTAGAAGGCCATTTGGATGAATGAATGTGTATGTGCAGGAATGGTTACCTTCAGCTCAGTTCATTCTACTTATAAAGAAGTCATACTCCTACCCTGAAATGCACTCTTCACTTCTGGTTGGTCTTCATTTATGAAAACTGGGGAAAGAAAAAGAGCTAATAAGACAGTTGATACAGTAGAAGGACGACAGAGAGACATTAATGTGGAGGGACTTTCCTTTTCTGTAACAGTAGGCTCCTTAAAGGGCCTCAAAGGCAAATCACCATCTCAAACTTCCATTTATTGTTGTATCTGTGCCAAATCCTTTCATTTCGAGGATTGTTACCAAATTCGTCAAACCATAGGTAGTGGTATGGCCATCGAGCAAGCAGCTATCTGGATTTCTAGTTTTCTACATACCTCTTGAGGACAAGTCGACATGCAGTAACATATGATTCGAGACCGAAACAGCTAATGAAGGTATTCAAAAAAAGATGGAGGCTTCAATTGATCATTTACATACAATTAGTCAAGAACTAAGATAACGAAAACGACGACTATTGAAAGAAGTGTTGAACAGCTGCTTTCCCACACACAAAAGAAGAGGTGCGTACAGCAACAGCAGAGAGTTAGGTGGCCAAATTTACTCTTCAATAGGCAGCCCTGCTTACACATATAAAGCCTATGAATGACATAGACTGACCCGACTGTATTTCTAGACCAGCTGGATGGCTGGATATTGGCAGCAAGTGCAACTTACACCTCTAGTGTTGTTACACATACACCATGTACTAAGTCTTAACTAAGACTTATGGTAACTCGCTTTCACTTCGACCTCGAAAGCAAGTCGATATCTACTACAGCAGTTGATGCCTGCAAATTGGAACTCATCCCTCTAACAAAGGCCAGAGAGAGATCAACGGACCTAGTTGAGTAGTCCTCCTCAGCTTTCTCATATTCCTTGTTATTTATAAGACTCGTCTGATAACAACGACCAAGCATCCAAAAAGGGATCCACCTTCGGAGCAAGCTATCTCACACCCCCGAGCCTCCTATATAATGATGTTCAAGTACTCCGTCATGGGAAAGACAAAGCAAAGAGCAATGAAATACCCATAAACAACTCCACACCATCCTTCCATTCTTGTATGAAGCGAGAGAAGCTTGTTATCCACTACCCCTTCGACTTGGAAATTTCAGCGGGCATGCATGTATACATCCAGATAACTGGAGACGTCATTAAAACCTGCAAAACACACTCATGGCAGCAAACCAAAATCCAAAAAACTACAGCAGACAAGTAATGCACAGTTTTCATGCTATGAAAGTCCTGTTCAGGACTTCAGTCATTCCGCACTGATTGACGTTAAAAAAAAAAAGATACTTCCCTTACAAAGGATAAGAGAAGATTTCCTCCCGTCTGGAATGGTCAAAACCTGCTCAAGGTATCCAAATATCAGGTAACTGGCATATAATGATATGAACCATGGATCTAAGGAAACACAAAAAACTCCAACCGAAGATCAATAACAACTATCAAATCCCCAGGCTTGCTAACTAACGTTCACAATGTGATACAACATGCCTTTCTCCATTGAGTCATCAACTTCCCCTGAAATAACCAAACATAATCCATGCAAGTAACCAAAAAACCTACAGGCATGATCGTATTAAACCATCTGATGGAGCAACTAAATGCACCTACAACCCCCCAGGTTCTGGGTGTTCTACTGTCTAGTGCTAGAGTGTTGTAATTACCAACGGGAACTTTAACCAGAATACATTACAACGAACCACTCGTTAGTATCAGATGAACAAATTCTCCAAACCAAACCAAACTTCTGTTCATTGACAAACTTCCTAGTTAAATGAAGAAGACTAGCTTACTGAATGATTATGAAGATGAAAGGAAGGATCCATTCTGCAATTCAAGAAAACATTAGATTTACATAGTACTCATAGTAGCAGAACAGTGAACGGGGTAATCCAGCCCATTCAAGGCCGGGAATCAGAGGGACGGTCTAGTGCGGTAGAAACAGAGTGCTTTGGAGTACAAGAGCCAAAATGAATAGACTTAGAAGCAACAGGGTTCCAAGATTAAAACGAACAGTTTGAAAGCAAAAGCAACAGAGGTAAGGCAACTACAGGTTCTTGGAAGCACATCACATATAGCTTGGTTTGTTGTCAGGGACAAGGCAGATTTGATAAGTTTCAGGATCTTCACTTATGTTTGGTTCCTCTAGGGGAGATCGTCAAGGGCAATGTCCGGGGTCTTCCAGCTTAAGGCTGTAGGCTTCATCAAAAGAGGAAGTAGGTCTGGCATCAGGCTTCAGGATCTCAGCTGTTGTTATGGGACGGAAAAAGGCAAGCACGGTAACATATGAGCATCAGAATCCTCGAACGGTCAACACATGATAGGTTGACCAAATGGAACTAGGGGGCACTAGGAGTCTGATTGGCCAATATCATAAGAAATAAGAACTGCTTTCATAGAAAAGGGGAAAAGAGTAACAAAATTAAAAAGAAAAGGAGAATCAATTCTACCTCCATGTGGCTATTGTTGAATTCTAGTAATGGTTTCTACGCCGTGCTGTCGGGGCCTGGTTAGAATACCTGGTAAACAAGAAGTTACCTTCAGGATATATATTCATTTGCCTACGGTTGGAGTACAAGAATGGAGAATGCAAAGGCAGGGTTGGTCAACACCAATGAATATTGGGAAAAGAAATCAACAAGGATTGAAGTGGAACATTATGGCTCTACTAAGCCTAGCTGTTGCCTCTCATGATGAAGTTTGTGACAGGAGCTTTTAGAGAAATTCATTTGATGGATCAAAATGGGCAAAAGAATATTCTCCTTAAATATAAAAGATAACATTCTATACTGCAAACAAGTTCTCCTAAATGGCTCCAAATGCTCTGGGTTAATTTTGTAAATCTAGAGACCAAGTTTTCTAGTGTTGGGTCTAGCTGGGCTTCTAGAGCAGAAAAGCTCCACGAAAAGCCAAACACATGTTGCAAGAGCATATTCTAGGTCAGAAACTACAGAGCTTTATAATTCCAACGTCAAATCTTACCCAGAAGTGCTTGCACGTGCAGACGAATAACTCCCATAGGGTCCATATGGACCACCACTACCACCGATCTACAAGAAACATTAAAAGAGTAACAAATGATCACATCAATCAGACGGAAAAGAATCAATGTAAAATAGAATGGTTGGATAGCTACAAGTATATATGACACAAGATACCTGTGAATTACTGTAACTACCATATGTGTCACTGGCAGGATAATCACTCAAGGCATAACCACCAGCATAAGTATGTCCGCGTCCAACCCTTCTACTATCTCTGGCATCATAATGAAAGTCATCTGACACATCAGTTGAAACAGGGACATAGGGTAGCACTGGCAAATAAGCAGAGGCTGCACCACGATCTCGGTCAAATACATTGTCCCTTAACCTCCGGCTTACTTCAATGAGTGCATCCTTGGCAACATCAAGTTCCCCAGAGATCTGTTCATGAGCATATAACCAAATTCATAATTAGCAGGTTCAGTAAAAACCGAAACCAAAATAATACCCCAAATACAGATCGGAAAAACTCTACCATGCATTATTACCTGTACCATCTCATCATCATCCGCTGCAACTTTAGGAACATTGTCCTTTCCAAGGATACGTATGTTAGCATTTGTAACATTCCTCATCTCGTTGATAATAGCTCCGCCCTTACCGAGAAGGCATCCAATTCGTGAAGAAGGTACAAGCAGCCGGGTTGTAAATGAGAGAAGTCCGGAATCTCTCTCGGTTTTCTCACTACATCTGGGTTGCAACCGCAAGGCTGCTTCAATTGTTGGAGAATGTTGCTCATCAAACACCTAAAGGAAATATTGCCCAATGAGATATTTTATAAAACAGTATAAAGAGTTGAAAAAATTCTATCAAGGAATTTGAATAAATGAATCATACAACTTAACTAAAAGTCTAAAACACATTAAAAAAACAATGAAATGAATTATATTTTCGATTCTGAACTTTTGTGGTCTCTTTTATCATTTCTTTTCCTTTCCAATTTTCAAACAGATTGGTTAATTACACTTAAGATTGTCCATTACAAATAAAGGTAAATATATTCAAGCTCCCTGACATGTGAATACTTCAAATATGAAATTCATTACTGAGGAAAGTCTAAGATAACAGTAACACTAAGATGTCAGACGACTGCTATATTTTATGAAGATCACAAAACTGCTATTTTACGGGATAAAAAACTGTATCATGGTACTATTTGCATCCAATTCCACAATTTCAAATCGACTTTAGACTTAAATAGGTTTTCTTTTTCTTTTTATCAATAGACAAAGATCGTACACTTAGTTTATCAGTTCCCATTTTAATTACTGGCAAAGAAGGTTTGCTAGAGCAATATCGTAAGATAATACAAACTTAAGGTCTAAGATGCTATTTTAACACTTGACTAGAATCAAACATCTCTTAAAAGCGTATGAATAGATATCCAGTCCTTCATTTTATTTAACAACTAAAACTGAAAGTAGCCATAAGAAGATACCAGTTTTATACCTCCCTGGCTGAAATTGTTATCAAGCAATCATCAGCAGCTGAGCTATGAACCTTTATACCGGCTCCAGTCTCTTGTCTAATTTGATTAATGATGGCACCACCTTTTCCAATCACGGCACCTATATATCCACTTGGACAAACCATACGAAGAGAAAATTCTCTAGGTGGAAGTTCCTCTCTGGGTGTCGAGTACAAGGACCGCGACCAATCTCTAGCATCACTTTTGTATCCTCCATAAGGACTCATCAATGGAGCCATTCCAACAATTGGTGCCCCACCAGTAGGACCAATCAGTGAACCACCAGAAGGATACATGTTGGGGACAGCAGAAACCAGCAAGTGCTGAGACCGTGATGGATTTTCATGAAGGCGAGCAGCAATCTGATATAGTGCCGTTTTTACTGTTCCAGCTTCACCAGAAATCTAAGACCCACCAAAGGGTAACAATCAGATACCAGACTTAACAGCTTACCAGATAGGAAAACAATCGACAAAGTATGACTACAAAAGATTCGAGCAAAAAGAGAGAAAAACATAAGGCCATTCGGGTTGTTGATCCATCATACCTGTACAAGCTCATCAGAGCTCAGTGCACAGAGTGGCAAATGGTCGTCCTTCAAAATGCGGATCTGTGTGCGTGTTTCAGTACGGATACTCTGCACAATCTGCCCACCTCTCCCGATAATGCAACCTATCTGATCAGATGGAACAAGAAGCCTCGCAGTCACTTGCTGACCGCCGCCTTCTTCAGAGTCTGCATCGACACGCAAATCTTCCCCAACAACTCTATCGTGCACCCTGAATAGAGCATCCTGAGCTGGTGAGATCTTATCATCACCATCTGCATATGGATTAGCCTCGTCACTAGAGCTGTAGATGGTAACCACGCGATCATCACACCCGGGTATGGTGTCACCAATTCTAATCTTGGCGTTGGTGTCTAACCTCAACTGTTTGACAATTTCACCTCCCTTCCCAATGATCGTTCCAATCCTTTTACCGGGGCACAAATACCGGTAAACAGTATCACGAGGGTCAATGACCAAAGGGTCTCTATCTTCACCTGAATTTCTTCTCTTGTTTCTTCCATCGTCATAATCCGAGTAAGAATGAGACCGCTTTCCGTAACTGTTTCTCTGACCAGCCATTTCAGGTAAAAATACAGTATCTGCAACCAATGAGGTTCATCGTTATATAGCACAAGGAATTATAAATCAGCCAAGCAAGTTTGAACTAATCGAACGAAAAGTGAATGACGCAGCATACTTCTAGAAAATAAGCTCTGCAAGCACTGAATTTGGAAAGGAAAACACCCATAGATTCCAAGCGCAAGCCTAATTCTAACTTCCGGTAAGAAGAAGGTCAAAGATGCGTTCGAGAGATGAGGGCAACAACGCGGGGAAAAGAAACGATTAATAGCAAGAACGAAACCAGGGTTAGTGCTTGATTAGACTGGCCATGGTACCTAAATTCAATATTCCGTTGGCCGAAACGATTCTGGCCAAAATCTGCTCCCCTTTGCGACGAGTGTTTCGAAGAAGAAGAAGAAGAAGAAGAAGAAGACGCGGGCGACTCTAGGGTTTTGTCACCACCCGAAATGACGCGGGCGACTCTGTTTCTTTTATTTCATCAAAGTCGAAGACTTTAAGTTATGTTTTTATTTTTATTTTCGAAGTTAATGGCTTTATTAATATGCTTTATTTATGAAATATTAAGTTATTAACTAGTTTTTTATCAAAAAAAAAAGTTATTAACTAGTGGTAGGATGAAAAAACTTGCAATCCAACGAACAAATACTCTCTTCCCAGAAACAAAAATATTAATTACAAATAGCAATATGACCATTAGTATAATTCATATTAAAGAGAATCATTTGAAAATTGTGTTTATTAAATAAATGTATAGTGATGAGTGCATATAATACTATAGAATATATATGTATTGATGAGTTTTGCGTATTGTAAAATACTTTCGTACGATATGTACTTTTAAGTTGTGAATAAAAAATGAGTTCACAATCTCAATTTAAACCGTTTCAACAATTTTCGCTGAAAAAATTAGATTGTTCAAACATTCAAGTTGAGTGATAGTTTATTTCAAATGAACAATTCACGATTTTTAGTATAAAAAGGTAAAAAACTATATATTCTAAACAATATATGTATTGTAATATCTCATAAAAACAATATGTGCATATGTACTGAACAATCATAAAAACACAATTTACATGTTGTTGACAATTTGATGAGTTTTCATATTTGTAATAGGATAGATTACAAATTTATAAATCATGAAACTAGAATTCAATCATTATCACGATCGAACTATGACAACACATATGTATAATTTACATGGATAGTTTGATATCTTATGCACAACCCTATTTGTAATGTGATAGGAAAAATAATTTCAATTACACATTTTATCATGTATTAAATTATTAAATTTCCTAAAAAACCTCGACCTTTATATTACTCGTGTCTCATTGATTGAGTACATGACAAGCACTTGAAAATTACTTTTGACCATAATCAAACTGAGTTACAAATTTATATAAATATATTTTTTTGGTAAGCATTATATAAATATTTTTAGTCATTGTAAAATATTTAAGACAAACTGTTTTGAAATGACATATTTTGCACAATTATTTCGTTAGGAACGAAAAGATAGTGAAATTTTTTTGGTTCACGATCAAAATGTCGTCACTGTTAATTTTATTGAGATTTTGCTAAAATATCAGTCACAACTCAAACTTTACAGAGCAGGCTCGGAAACGTAAGACTGCCAACCGCCCGGGCCCTAAAGTCCAATCCCGAATCACTTCTTTCTCTTCCGCACCCCAGAGACGTTTCTCTCTCTAAAGCCCTCTTCTTCGCCTTTCATTCTCTGCTCGCGCCAGCCCTAAATCCTGCGAGTCTGGTTCATATGTCAACATCCGGACCTCCACAATTCCGATACACGCAGACCCCATCCAAGGTTTTGCATCTCCGTAACCTGCCATGGGAGTGCTCGGAGGAAGAGCTGGTCGAGCTCTGCAAACCATTTGGGAAGATCGTCAACACCAAGATCAATGTTGGCGCCAATCGCAATCAGGCCTTTGTCGAATTCGTAAGCTTCCCTTTTCACCTCTGCATATATACGCTGTTCAGTTTCGTTTTCCTGCTCTAATTTATGCTCGTTTTTTTTATTATTATCTATTTGCTTGTTTGGTGCTACTGTAAACAGAATAACACCAGGAAACTTTCTTTCCTTTTCTTTTCCACACGAGCTTAGTGTAGTGCTTATAAGCTTTTAGTGGGTCACTTCGGAATGTTTTATTTCATGGTAATGTCCTGTGGTTGAGAAGTTGATTGATTTGGGATGTCATTGCTTGCAGCCCGACCTAAATCAGGCAATTCAAATGGTTTCCTACTATGCATCATCATCTGAGCCGGCACAAGTTCGTGGTAAAACTGTGTATATACAGTACTCGAACAGACACGAGATTGTCAACAACAAGAGTCCAGGCGATAATCCCGGTAATGTATTACTGGTGACTATGGAAGGGGTAGAAGCTGGCGATGTCAGCATTGATGTTATTCACTTGGTAAGTTTACTGATTCAAAACCTACGTACAGTTTTTGGTTAATGTTTAGCTGTCCTGAGGTAGGCTGAAGGTACAAGAATGGATTTCAGTTCAAAGGAGGAATTGAGTATAGAATAATTTGTATATAATTGGGTTTCCGAGCTTGGAGGCCATAGTCAAATGTTCAGAGAAGCACTTAAGTGAACTCGATGGGGGCGCTGGCATTGTTATATAACTTGTAAAGGAACATTATCGGTTGAATGTCTTTGGTCTCTTCATTTGGCCGAAAGGAGAAACATAATAGTAGCAATGAACTTTCAGCTGGGTCTGGGAACGATATAGGCTTTAAAACAGGAATGTATCCAGTGTTGTAGTGGCATGTAGGATAGTGACGTTCTGATGATAATTGCAATTCACATGGGAGAGATGTGGAAAGAAAAATGAGGAAAATGTAGAGGTTAGGGGTCCAGCACTAATGAATTCCATGCAGAAAAAGCTATTTTGCTTGTTCAGCGTGGAAGAGGAACGGTTGAGAATGTAATTCCCTACCATCTAAACAACATATATCGTGCCTTGTTGCAAGGAGTGATTAATCTGCTGTCCATATGATTAATGTTGTGGTTATCTTTTCTATTCTATCCCCGTAGCCTCTCCTTTCTTTTTTCCCCCTGAAGCAGTCTACAAAACCTTCCACTGTACATAGAGTTGTAGGTATGTAAACATTGATATATGAGCCAAAACTGAACATTTCAGGTTGAGTGTTAGGAATTGCTATTTGGTTTTGTCCAAAAAAGGCTCTTCTTTGGTGAATAATGGTTTCTTCATGGTTGTTCTCTTTGTCTTAATCTGAATAATTCCTGTGCTTTTTTTGACAATCTGAAATATGAATTATACATGAATCAGTTTTTATCCAAATCAGGTTGGCCTCTTATTTAGATTCTTCTGTTGGAGACAGTTTGGAAATATTTCTTGTACGTCATACTCCATTCTATGCTCTGTCTTGACGAATACATGTTCAGGTGTCATTCTACACTTCTTACTTATCTATCTGGATTTTACTGGTCATTTATTAGCGTCCTCATTGCTCTTTGCTATATTTCACATATTGGTGCTATTTTTACTTATTGTTATCCCTAATTTACTATATTTCAGGTATTTTCGGCTTTTGGCTTTGTGCACAAAATTGCTACCTTTGAAAAAGCAGCTGGCTTTCAGGTTAAGTCCCACAAATTTCTTCTTTTGTGGTATGAGTTTTATCATCTGAAAAAATAACCGTCTTACTCGATTTGTTGCCAGGCTTTAATTCAATTCACTGATTCAGAGACAGCTTCTTCAGCAAGGAATGCATTGGATGGCAGAAGTATACCAAGGCATGTTTTCCTTCTTCCAGTCCTACAATCAACACTGAACTGCGGCTTTTTTGCCCTAGTATAATCTTTTTCATTTTCCGGACTCTGCCTTGTCCTTGAAGTCATTTGGCTTCTCATGTCAATTTGCAGATACTTGCTGCCAGAACATGTTGGTTCATGTAACTTGAGAATCTCATACTCTGCCCACACTGATCTTAATATTAAGTTCCAGTCCCACAGAAGCAGGTAATAGCAACTGAAGAAACCAATACCTGGAATTTTGATGCTTTACTAGTTGATTTACGTTGCCTGAATATTTCCTTATTATTCTTCTGCATCATTACGAGAAATTTGGAACTTTGCTAATTGGTATGTGTGCTTTTCTCATCTAGGGGGTTAGTGAAGCTTTGTAGCAGGCACACAGATGTGTTTTCATGGCAACTTAGTAATTTCCTACTTCTTTGTTTGTATCTCTTGGATGTGATCAATATTGTTGTGGCTATTACTGCTTCTGAGATGCTTGAAAGTTAGTAATCACTTCTTTAGAGAAATTAGTTTAATCATTTGTAGAAAGTATTACTTTGTCTTTATGAACTGTTTCAATCAAAATCTGTAATGGTTATTTTTTATATCGTGATTGAAATGCTACCTTGTCATAATTGTTCCACTGGTTAATAGAATGAGTTAGTTTTGGCTTAAGAAGCTGCTACCTAGGCAGTTACAAGTGTGTATGTAATTCTTTTTCTAATAATGAATAAAGAGCGTGTCAAGAACCTAAGGCCCACCTAGGGTAAGCCAGGAAACTCATGTTCTTCCCTGCTGAAGAGTGAGTACTGTTGAACTTTTCTTGCTGCAATTCTATGAAAGTAGATGTCCTTTTCCAGGATATAATTTATCAATTTCCATACCAGATGTTACTCTAGTGTTCATGATAGCATTATCCAGCCAATTGAAAAGCCACAAAGCTAACAATAATGTATACTATATGATTTCGGCTACATTGCTGAGTTAACTATGTCTTCAATGTTTGTGTGATGCATGTGTCTTTCATGCTCTGCAGGGACTATACAAATCCATACTTGCCTGTGAATCCTACTGCCATTGATGGGTCTCTGCAGGTAACTCACGGCAATCACTTTAGTAGGATTTAAAGCTTCTTTTTAGCACAGCATGTAACAAGCAGTCATCTTCAGCTTGCTGTAGGCCCGGATGGAAGGAAGAAAGAACCTGAGAGTAATGTTCTACTTGCATCAATAGAGAATATGCAGTATGCTGTTACTGTGGATGTTCTTCATACGGTACAGAACCTCCTTTTGAGTTTCTAGGATTTTTCTTAATATAAAATTTCCCTCAGAACCTGAATTCAAAGCACTGGCTGGTTTATTATTGTAGGTGTTTTCAGCTTTTGGTAACGTGCAGAAGATTGCAATATTTGAGAAGAATGGCAGTACTCAGGCACTAATTCAGTATCCTGGTATCACATCACTCGGCTAAACAGAATTTGCTTATCTAATCTGAATCGCTTCTTCTTTCATCTATTCTCCTAATTTTAGTTCATTCTGGGATTAGATGAGAAGCCATGCATTCAATTATAAAACCTTCCTGGCTCAAAGTCATGTAGGTGCGGTTTGTGAAGGCCTCATTTTCAATTCTGTGCTCTAAAGGAATGATGATAACACTTCACTTGAACAAGTTTTTGGTAAACGAGGTTGTCTGGTTAAGAAAAAAACTACTCTCTTACCACATTGGTGGTTGGGTATAATGTGAAGATGAATACTGCTCAACAACTGCCTTAGGCTCTTCTTTGCATGGGATGTTTTCTGCCTTCACTGATATTGCCCCTGCCATATTAAACTCCGAAACTTTTACTTTCTTTCTTGCAGATATTGCAACGGCATCTGTAGCGAAGGAAGCTTTAGAGGGACACTGCATTTATGATGGTGGCTATTGTAAGCTTCATCTATCATACTCTCGTCATACTGATCTCAATGTAAAGGTATAAAATATATGCTTTTGAGTTAATATTCATGGGGGGGATAAGAAGCAAACTGTGAAAAATTGGGCTTAAGTGCGGCTTGGTCGAAAAACGATTTGGTCATAAAAATCGTATGCTTCTCTATACTTCACTTTCCTGTTTTGTGAGATTTCTGAATCTTATTACTAGGAATCTGAATGATTGCTCCTTTGTTTTTTGTTCTATCCTTTGTTATGTTCCATGGGTGGTAGGCTTACAGTGATAAGAGCAGAGACTATACAATCCCAGACGCTAGTTTGCTTGCTGCATCATCACAAATCCCATGGCAGAATCATCAAGCTATGTCAGCATATGGTGGGAATGCATACAATGCTCCCCCAGGTGTGCCCGGTATGCCACATCAAGCTCCCACTGGCCAGTCGCACGGTCCAGGACCAGGCTATGGCTCAAACCCAGGATCCTATGGTGGTCATACATCATATCAACCACAACCGCCTATGCATCCGTATGGCAATACTGCAGCTGGTCCTCCTGATTCATCCCCTCGCATCTCATAGGGCAGCTCAGCTCATCCTGGAGTCCACCCGAATTTGTGATCTGGTGCGGTGCTTCACACTTGAGGTCAGCTTTCCTGTCGTGGGTGGATGATGTATTTTATGTGGTAGATGGGTTTCCTGAGCTTCAATGACAGTGAGTGTGTAATGTTTAATCAGGAAAAATTATATGTTTACCATATTGTTAGATGATGTTTATCAAACAATCCTTCTGCATCGAACCATGTCCTCATACTGAGTAATTCTGAGTACTGATTGATCCCTCAGCAACAAATCCAATTTTAGAATCCATTTATCTGTCAGCATTTTCTGGTTTGAGTGTTGGTGCTTGTATGTGACATTGGGTTTGTTTTTGGTATTGTCACACTCTACTCATACAGTTGCTGATAAGTTTGTGTTTCTTGATGATAACTTTGTTACATTAATCAAAAAGACTTGTGGTATAGTCTTTAGAAAACCCGGTAACTTTGGACCTGGTAGATCCCAGTTATATACCGTGTTTGGTCTGTGCAGTAAGAAGCCTCGAACCTTAGGTTTAGCATACTGTGAAACAACTTTGCTGCCCAGAGTCGGCCTGAAATGAACATTGAAAGGCTGTGAGACAAGAGTCTAAAAATGACTCAACTACTAAACCTGCATTGTCACTGTCGAAATTTAGTGTGTGTGTATTTCCTCTGTACTCTGTAAGAGAAACTGAGAATTGATAGCTCCTGATCTTGGAATCCCATGTGTTTAGTGGTGGTGGCCTTGTCTGTCTCACAACAGGCATATGGCATCAACTACTTTCTGTCTTTGTTTTCCATTTACCGTCGTAAACTTCACCGCCTTCAAAACCACTCTCTTCAGGCGTAAATCATGAAGTGGTGGCCTTGTGCAGTCATAAATCGCACGTAACTGTAAAATGGTCGTCACTAAGAATGAGTTGGTTATACAAATTGGGAGTCATGCATATGTTCAACTTTAAACTACTTTAACTCTCTGTCTACTTCAATTGCAACAGCACACTACCACCAATGTGGCTCCCTGGCCTTCACCATGTGAGAGGGTTGGTAGGGTTACGTACGTTGTACCTGTCTGCACCATTTAATGAGTTCGTGGGACTAAGGAAAAATCTCAGGAAACTACGGGGATCGACTTGTATTAGTATTTTGCCGCTGGCAGAAATCATATATTTACCCTTTTTGCAGCCTGTTGCCGACAATTTCCAAACTATACCGATGTAAATGAACTGCTCAACAACAAGTCTTTTTTTTTTTTTTTTTTTGTGTGTAAAACAATACAGTCTTTCCAACCCCATTTCCAGAAAACTCTCTTCTAATGTTTATTGTTTTAATGCAATCTCTCTGCCCAGTTTTCGTTTCCTTGCCCGTCAAGGTACTCCCTATGAAGGACTCAATGGCTAGCTGAACCATAAGTGGTCCGAAAGAGCAATGTGTGGACTCAAATAATGCCCTCGTCACAGATTTCAAGTCCCCTATTCCATTCACTAAACTCACTATCTAATCTAAGCACTTTGTGTATATTGGGAAATCCAAGAGCGGATCGATTGAGAATTTTGATAAGGAAAACTCACGTTCTATCAACTTTGACGGAATAGACAATATGAGAAATTTTTACACCACCTTTTAAAATTTTTCAGAGTTTCTCTTTTGGGAGTGGGGGTAGGGGGTTGGTGTACCATTATTCATGCAAATAAAAATTGTGGGGGGCACAATCACTCTTTAACCTCATATGCGACATGTGGGTTTGTCACAAATGGGAGTTTTATATAAAGGCACCAGTCCTTAAATACATAGAGTGCAAGCAACTAGTAAGGGCCACAAAATTTAAGGACCATTCTAACTAAATGCATATATATATATATATATATATATATATATATATATATATATATATATATATATATATATATATATATATATATATATATGCACCATCCATCCACATGCTTAGTGAGCTTACTGATATTTCGACATCCATCGGCATTTCGACAATTACAATCTGAGTGAGCAGGCGATTAATGACTCTAACTGCCATGGCCCCCACCCAATCTTCTGCGAAAGATCTCTTGTGTTTCTTGCTTCACACAATATTGATTTCATAGCACTTCTACTATGCTATATAGCATTGGTGCTTTAATGTATAACTTTAAGTTGTACCATTATCTCTTTAAAAGAACAAGTTACAACTTTACTGTTTCATAGAGTCACATCCCGCCACTGTTACTCTTTTGCTTTTTACTTTTACTGAGTTCTCGTTTGTAATCATTGCTTTCCTCTCTCTTTTCTCTCTGCTTTTTGCCTGGGTTCCTTCGCCAGCGACGGCTCTTCTCTCTGCAACTGATCGGTTTTCGGAACTCCTCACCTTTCCCCTGGAAATGACAGGTCTGGCGCTTCCTCATCTGTTCCTTTCCCCACAAAAGTCTTGTTTTGCTTTGCTACCTTTCATTTATGCTTCTCACAGACTTTCCCTCTTCTAGCTTGCTTGCTCGCTTGCTTTCTTCTATTGCTCTTCCATGGTGACCCATAAATTGCTTCTTGACCTCAGCGACTCCGATGGCCCTCAGACTCTTCTGAAGCTGCGCCTCCTTAATGCGTGGGGGTCTTATGGTCTGAAGAATCCTACATTAATCTTCAACTACAGCCCTCTGATGTTCGTTTCTTTTCTGGCCAGGGTACTTTGATTCAGGGCACGGCTCCTTCGGAACTCACACGCCATTTTTCTCCGCTTCTGCAGTTGGGTAGCGTTTACTTCGTGAGCAATTTCCGCGTCAAGCCACCGGCCCCTTCGTATCGTTCTTGCTCTCATAAGTTGACCATCATCCTCTCTGCCGCTACACAGTTCGAAGACGTGACCCGTTCGTCGCCTTCATTCTGGCCGGATGCGTTCGAATTTACCCCGTTTAGCTCGCTTCATTCCCGCATACGTTCATCGGTTTATCTAACAGGTCTTATTCTGTCTTCTTTACGTCTCTTGCTGTCCGTTCTGTAGTGTACTGCTTACCATCCTTTCCTTTCTTCTCTTGCTTGTGCCTCTGTCAGATGTCGTTGGCGCTGTTGTTAGCATCACAGGCGTTTCTAGCACTGTGACTTCATTCGGTACCACTGTGCGGAGTGATTTGGTGCTTCAGAATGAAAAGTATGTTACAGATGCACACCACTGCTTTATCGACTGTAATACACTTGTTACTTACTTTCGTTGCTTTCTTGCCCAGTCACATGTTTCTTGATATCAGTCTGTGGAGTGATATAGCTCGGAATCTCAATGGTCAGGAACTGGCTGTCCTTGGTCGTTCTGGGCCAGTTATGCTTGCTGTTTGCTCACTTCGAGTCACTGGCGCTACGAAAGGTCTGCATGTACCTTACCGCCGCACTATTCTCCCTTTCATTTCCCTTCCTCTTTTCCTTATTAACTTTACCCCTTTTGTAGGCGGTTACTCTCTTACCAGTACTCCAGGCACACGTTGTGTTCTCAACCCTGTTTCTGAAATGGCTCACCTGGTCCAATCTGTGTATGTCTTTTCTTATCCTTCTCATATCTTTTTTTCCCTTTGCATCATCAGCTGTCTTTTTGTTCCTGCTAATTTGTTGCGTTCCTTGCTTTTGCTTTCGTTAGGTTCTTTGCCAGCACTAATACATGTCAATATTACCCTCCGAGGTTTGCAACTCCTAATGAGGCAGCGGCCTTCGAAGCTGAATGTACGAAGACTGTGTCACAACTACTTGCCTTGTGTTTTCCACCTGTTGCCGATGTATGCTTTTTCCCCTTTTGCTCTCCAGCTTACCTGCTTCTGTTCCTTTCACTTCATTTGTTTGTCCGTCTAATCATTTCTTCCGTTTACTTTTTTGTAGTCTACGCGTTACCATTGCTCTGGTCGGATCGTTTCGGTTGATTCTTCTATGCAGTGGTATTACTTGGGTTGTGCGCTTTGTTCCAAAGCAGCCATAGATTATGATGGTGTTGACAAATGGTGTGATGACCACCGTCGTTTGGTGCCTCAACAAACACAGAACTTGTAATTCCTTTCTTCATTCTTGCCCCCATACCTTTTGCCTTTTCTCGTGTCCTCAGATGCTCCTGTACACGTTTTGTGCAGTTACAAACTTCGGGTAACAGTTGATGACAACACTGGATCAGCAGCTTTTGTTCTGCTGGGTAGGGCCGCTGACCTTCTTGTGGGCTTGACTGCTAACGATCTCTCTACTAGGTTTCCTTACCAACGCAATGTTCTTCCACAAGAACTTCTGGCTCTTGAAGGGCGAGACTTTACTTTTGACGTCCAGCTTCCAAAACCGGAATATGGGGCTCGTGGCCCGCCAGAGTTCACGGTCCTTGCTGTCAATGAGCAAGAACAACCAAATTCCTGCTCACCAACTCTTGGTCGCCGGGCAAGAAATGCTATGCCCCATACACCACCTCCTAACAGGTTGTTTTAATGTTCTTAATTTTGTTGTGCAGTTTCCTTTTGTTCATTACTAATCGCTGCTTTCCGTTGCAGTCCTCACATGATGCCTCTTACTTCTCCATATGTTGTTCCAACAATGCAGAACGCTTCGGTAGAGCATGGTTCTTCTGTTGCTTCACCAAGGTTATGCTTCAATTTTACATGTCCTCTTTTCTCTGGTTGTTGCTTGTCTTGAACTCGGGTTTCTTCTTAAATTTGCAGTGGGAGTTCACAGCTTGCATTTTCTACTCCTCCACGTTGCCCCTATAGCAGGTTGTTTTTAAAATTCACTTTGCTTTACAAAATTAACAAGCGCTTCTTTGGACGCTGTCGTACTCTTTCCCAATGTGTTGACATTTCTTTTCCATGCGTTGTTTACCATCAATTTCCAGTAGGCGCATCGCTGCTGTATCTTCGCCCTCATCTGCTGCATTGGGAAGGTTGTCTGTTTGTTGTCTGCTTTGCTAGCTTAGTTCTGCTTATACACGTTCTGCATGTCGTTTCCTGACATGTTTCTTTTCAACAACAGTTCTGTAGCTTCTTCTCCTGAACTTGGTCGTACTGAGATTGTTTCCTATGCGCGGTCAGTTTCTTGCCTTTTCCTGTATTACCTCATTCGTTCGACTTTACGCCTGCTAATATTTGTCAATGACTCTTGCACACCCGTTTTAACTGCTTTTTAGCCCTAGAAGTGAGCAAGTGCCCCCAGAAACTGCAACACAGCGATCCCCACAGTACCTTTCCTCCTGTTAACTTACTTACTAGCTTTACATGTCTCCTCTTTTCTTGCTGAGCATCTCTGTATCAGGGAACTTGCTTCGGACACTACAGATGCTACTGTGCAGAACAAGAACATTAGTTCAAAGAAAGCGAAGCCGAAGAAACCATCTGCTAAGAAGAAGTCTCTCTGCCCTTTATTACTTGCTATGTTTCTTGTACCAAACTTACCATATCCTACATTAGGTCTTAATTTCCTGTTTAACTTGCTTCTGCTTGCATACTGGCAATTTACTTGGTTGTTGTGCACCTTTCGTTTTAAATGTGGCCTGCTTCCTACCCATTCCCCAGTGTTATTTCGTTTTACCACTTACTTGGTTGTTAACTGTGCATACGCCACTATTGCCTCTTGGAATTCTTTTACTTATCATAGTATCCTGCATTGCCCTTCGGTTTACTGTCCTCACCTTATACAACTTTGTTTAACTTTTTGCAAGAAAACTGGTGGTGTAGGTGCTGCGCGTCGTCCTACAGTTACTCTTGAAGAAGCCGATGTTCCGATATCGTCCCTTCAGATCCCTGTTGGACATCCTTTGCCAACCGAATCGGCGAATCCTGACTCTGGAAATCTTAATGCCCTCGGTGTCAATTTGCAGACAACAACAATTCAGCCTTTGTCACAGTATGTGTCATTCTAATTATTTGTTTGCCAGTGTTGTCTGCTCCCTAGGATTCCAGTTTGCATGCTTTTGGTGCCCTTTTAAACCTGATCAAAAATGGTTTCCAGTCTGCACAAAATACTTATTTTTGACGAAAAAGAACTGCAAGCAATGCTTTTAAATTTAATTTGGTCTTGTGCTTCTATACATGATTCTAAGTCGTTACCATAAAATACAATAGCCGATGGATGGCCTTTTGTATCCCTTTCTTCGACCTTCGCTAACTTACACGTGTTCTCAATGTGCAGACATACAATGTTACCTTTCAGTGCCCATACTAATTATCTACGAATGTGTTACCTTTTTGTTTATACAGAACAAAATAAACAAATAGTTGTGGCTTTTGCTTACTTGGTCAGCTTCAAATCAATTGTTTTCCCACAGATTGAAGTAATAATCGTCTTTACTTTATGGAGATTCCTTGTGCAGTTTGTTCTTTGT